TTCGTAGAAGGCAGGTACGTAGCGAAGGAGACCCAGTGCCGGGAACCGGGAGGGCAAGAACAAAGGGAGTCGGGATCGGGGAAGCTAGCCTACCTAACCTGTGTTCCCGCGTCTTATTAGGTAATCTAGAACCTTGCTTGTTTAATTGTTTGTGCTGGGTAACCACTATGTAAATGTTTTGTCACGCTATTTTGCTCTTCTCGGTGGTCGGGCTCTGATTGAAGTGTGGACTGATTCTGAGTTTTTGTTCTTCTCTCGTCTTTCGTCTCCGGGGGCGCCTGGACACCATGGTGCCCAGCGGACCGACCGACTTGCCTCGTTTCCTTCCTCCCCCCCCAAGTCTCGCCCCCAGTGGCCCCTTCCCGAATCCCAGTTCCCAGTTCCCAGCTCCCAGCTCTTCCAAACTTAACCCCTGTAAAACCCACTTTGGCCGTCCCCAAAGACCCACCGCGATCCCCGTTCCGGCGCCGAGAAACACCCACGCCCAAAAGACCGACGCATAAGAAATCGCTAGTGCAAGCGGCAGCTAGAGTCGCGGGAATAAACGGGCATATCTTGTGCGCTTTGTTCATTCACTTACCCATACTCCATACAGTAGTATGCCCGAACACATGAGAAAGCAGGAACCCCACTGGCAACCGGGCAAGGCTGGCACAGCGAAACCCAAAATTCTTTTGCTGTTCTAATAAGGCTGGAAGTGAGAGAGGGGGAGCAAGGACGGAGTACAGAAAAAGAAAAGAAAAACCCCCTGCCCTGTACATTAGACGCAACGGCAGGGCGATGCAAAAGGGGGACAAACGCCCGTTTACGATAATCTGGCCCCCAATCGACTCATCTGACACGTGCTGGCAACAATAGGACCGCCAAGCAACCTGAAGGAACGAGCAAGGAGGTTTACACCATCTCCGGATCCCGTCTGCTGGGACGGATCATCTTCCTTGCCTCGCCTGCCTGGTCGTCTCGTACCCTACCCACTAATCGCTGTGCCTTGGGCTTGTGCGACCGAGCCGTCTGATGGGCCTCTATGACGCCGGCTGGCTGCAAAGTCCGATCTTGTGTTGGAGATTGCGGTCGAGCGACGTCCCGGGATTCGCAGCTACCGAAAGGATCTTCGAGGGGTGGAAAACACGGCTTGGAAGCTCGTCTTTGACGTGTTTGGGCGCGAAACATGGGAGCAACAAGGGACGGAGGATGGAGCATTTCTTGCCTAGTGCAGAACCAAACATCTTCCACCACCAAGGGATCCCGCCCGGTTACAAATCAAAACCACTGACTGCTTGGCGGTCAGCGTTGCGTCCCCTCCTATATTGCCGCGCTGTCGTGGCGGCATCACCTTCTAAACTCCTTCGCAGGGCTTGGTGGTTGCGACCTCGCCACCCACAAGGAAATATCAGACGAGGTCGGATGCCGGCGATGCCTCGTTTCCTGCCGTGCACTCTTCTAGTTTGGTTCATGGCATCCGTCACATCGTACCAGTGTAACCATGAGGCATAGAGGGATGCCCCGACCTCGACGAAAGGAAATGAAAAAGAAAAAAAAAATACCACAGCCAGTCACCGCGAAACGCATGGTACGCTCCGGAATCAGGCCCCTTGGAAGAGCGAAGCATGCGTACCTGGCATTGATCACCTCTGCGCCATCCACGCGCTGCATTCCCTTCTTGCGCATACGTAGCATATTTCTTTTTGGGACACCAGGTCCGATACCTCGTCCCATTGGCCTGGCGTCCAAGGGGCTAGGATGATTCCAATAAGGTGAGGAGCGTGCCTTGCTGTAATACCAAAACCCTTCCTGCGAGCATCCAGTCCCAATAGCGAAGCATGTCCGTGGCTTCGGATACCAAGACCAGCAGGGCAGGGCCCCTTCGGATTATCGTCCACATTACACCATGGTTTGACGTTTGAGACGAGGTCGGACCGGGTCAGCCTCCGAGGGAGACACATTATGAGGCTTGGGCGATAGGAGGAAGAGGCGGTGATGAGCCCCCCCCTTCCCTCCCATTCAAACACTCATGCAGTGTGCAGTGCCATTTCCCTTTTGTACGGTTCGCCCGCGTCTCCTGCGTCTTACATGGGTACTAGACTCCGTTCTCTGGTGGAGGAGAACCTCTGTCTTGGAAGGGGAAAGAGAATCAAGACGGGGCGCCGCCGAGTAGCGCCCATTGCATCTCGGCCCACACAGATGCACTTGCTATTCGTACCCGGCGCGAGAAGTAATTAGGCAAAGTCGGCAAGAATGGAGAAGGGGGAGAGGGGTGGGGAGAGGAGGGAAGAAAGGGAGGCCCCTCCGCTAATCCTTTTTCGGGACCGGCTGGCTATCTAGATACCCGTCGACGATGGCCCAGATAGCGACACACAGATGCTGTGTTCTTCTTTTTCCGTCCGATGGTGAAGATTCAACGCACGATCCCCCACATGCGCGATTGATGTGAGAAAAGCTGGCCGCTTGGGTGTCCGTGAAAGATGGGGGCTGAATGAATAAAACTGAGAAGAGAGAGGGAGGGGGGGGGGGCTAAAGAAAAAACTAAAAAAACTAAAACTCTGGGCGATTGAAGAGCTGGTCAGATGTTTGTTCCGAGGTTCTGGTTGCTGGGTTTTCTTCAACACCGTCCGCTCCCACCCCAGTGTCTACCTCTGAACCCTCGTTCCCTCATGGGCTACAGCCCAAGAGTGAGACATTACACGCTGTATGGACGGCGGACCAAGCTGTAGATTGGAAAATACTAGGGGGGTAGGGTGCGGTCGTGGGCTAGTAAATTTGGGATTTGCGGTCAATGTTTGTAATTAACTCGGAGGAGAGCTACCTACCTACCGACGGAGAGGCTGGCTTGGTTCGGTACTTTTGCATCAGCCATCTCAAGCCATCTCTTTCTCCTTACCCACGAACACACACCTTTGGCCGTGCTTTAAGGCCAGGCGCTACGGGAAGACATGGGCACGAGGAGGCGCGCTACTCGAAGCACTAGCTATCATGGTTACCGCCCTTCTTCCAAATGGCCCCTTGGGTGTCTCGACAAGTATGTGACCAGGTGCCGTGCCGAGCCTCTAAGCGCATACGATGATACGAACGATTTGTCGTCTCTGGGAGGACCTGCAAACAAGGTTGTTGGGGAGCTGTCCTTACAATCGTCAACCTCACGGAGCCTCCGTTCATGCATCTTGATCATTGGGTTCCAAGCCTCCAAGTTGCTTCTGCTTCATGCTTCGCGCCGCACGCCAAGTGAACGATTGCGGTCTTAGCTAAGACGTGTATCATGGATGCCAGACTCAGGAACAGCATTCCTATCATTCCCCGGGTGGCTCTACTGGGGGGGGTTTGTCAGCAAGAAACAAGGAGTACCCCCTCAAGCGAATTGGGTCCGGACATAACGTACGATGCATCTGTATTCCAGAGCAGCTCCGTGCGAGTCCCCAGGCTCGAATTGACCCAGGAAGCCACTCCTTCCCATTCCAACTGGTTGTGTCTTTCTGAACCAGGGTGTCCATGGGTTGCATGCTGGGCGTTCGACAGGGAGTACCTGGATGTTGGTGGGCCCCACCCGACATCTTGACCCCGCCGCTCCCAAAGAGTCAAAAAAGACCCGCGACCGCAGAAACCAGAAAAGCTCGGACAACCTTCCCAATTGGAAGGCACCAGGTACCCCCCCACTTCTCTAGGCCTGGCCTTCCCCACCCATGCTGTACCAGCCCTTGATCTTCCCAACACACCCACCACTCGCCACCCCCCCCCCCGGTCGCTTCCTGTACCTAGGTACTGACGCTTGCTGTGTCTGTCGCCATTCTGGTGTCCTTCTGTCGGGAAGGTACGTATCTCGAACACCCTAGCGCACGCTACGTAGTACCATGAACCAAAACCCCACCTAGCACCAACAGGCTGGGGGGAGAGGGGCCTGCCCAATGGGTGGAACTCGTCTCACTGGAGTCACCGTGCTGTGACCAGTCAGCAGTCACCCAGCGAGGTGGATTTTTAGTGTTACCACTGCGCTGGAGACCTCGTTTAGTTTGGCCGGCCTGGGCTTTTTTTTTGTCTCTCTACCGCTATGGTGTGTCGTGGGTGTGCAATCTCGTCGTTACAACTTGCGCTTCTGCATCTGGCACTTCGCTGCAAGAAGTCGCGACCGGGGGCAAGGGAGAAGAGGGGGTGAAAGAACAAGAGACGAGAGTCTGGAACTAAACTGGCATTGGCGCCCGCTCTGAATTGGATTGGCTGCGTCTTGAAGCTGCAACCTGAGAAAGACCCTGGTGGGAGACTGGACCGGAGGAACAGCCCAGAGAGAGGGAAGGAGGGGGGGTATTAGCACTGCACTGCACTCTCCCACTGGCACCTGCCTTCCCACCCACAACTAGCCTTTCTCGACGCTAGCCTCCTCCTCCACCTTGTCTCTTAGCACCTGCACCTTGTTTTCCCACTTTTCCCACTCTTCCTTCAACCACGTCCCGTCACTAACTTCCCCGTCCTTCTTCTTCCTCGTCCTCCCCCCTTCTCACACCACACCTCTCTCCTCCTCCCACAACAACCAAATTCATTTGCCTGCGGAAAGACCTGTTTTCTCCTGAACTGCTTATGAGAAGCAGGAGATACAATCGCCCTTGCCGAGGACACTGCCTTTGCCGGATATAACTTGGGCGAAAACCCTCTAATCGCCAATACTGACAAAGATCGACACCCCGTTCTCGCCTTCAATCACTGATCTGTCATATTACACGAACCACGCCAACCATTCGCAACCCCTTGTCGTCCGTTTCGCAGCCAAACATCGTACTTGAGCCACCCCGCCACCCGTTCGAACTTTGATTGTTTAAAAAACCGGCAAGTCGACTTCTCCGTGGCCAGGCATCATCATTTCCCGTGCACCTCGTTCCGACAAACACCAAACCCTAGCCTCACTCGCTTGGGTTGTAGTGCACCGCAGATTATCCTTTTCCCAGGGAAGCCCGCAATCGACCTAGGATCCCACGGTTTTCAACCAGACCCGCCGTAAAACGACGACACCGTCAAACATGAGCTCGCCAGCGCAAGCCGGACCTTCGGTCCCGAAGGAGAAGAAGGGATTTGGAAAGATCTTGTCTCGTGCCAAGACCGTCTTCAAGAGAGGAGATGGTTCCTCCAAGCGCATGTCGACTCTGTCCACCGCCGGCCAACAGCCTCCCTCGCAGACCATCACTCCCGGGTAAGCAAGACATCAGCCTTTGTCGTCGACCTCTGCTCCATACACAGTGTCGCCGGCCTTCGTGTATTATCCATCTAACACGCATACAGTCAGTCCACTGCCCCGGCTACCGAGCAGCCTGCCGCTGCTGCCACTACTACCAAGGAAACCAATGAGGCTCCTAAGAGCAAGTACGAGGACCTCCCGGGTGTAGTCAGGATTCCCCGGGCCGAACTCTTCGAGGAGCGCGCGAGGAAGTTGGGCGAGAGATTCGGTCTCGAAATCAAGCAGAGCGAGTGGATCTCCACCGAGGGCACCGCTCTTCGTGTTGAGAAGCCCATCCGCATGCGCGTCCACCGAACCTGCCACAAGTGCAACGCCACCTTCGGTGCCGCCAAAGAGTGCCCCGGCTGCCAACACTCCCGTTGCACCAAATGCGTCCGTCATCCGCCCAAGCGGACCGAGGCCGAGCGCATCGCCAGCCGGGAGAAGCGGGCCGCCATCCTCAAGGCCCAGAAGGAGAACCCTCCCATTGTCCCCGACTACTCGTACGACCTCAAGGACACTAAGGACATCGTCCTCAAGCGTCCCAGTAAGACTGGAGGACAGGATCTCATCTACAAGAAGCCCCGTCAGAGGATAAGGAGAACATGCCACGAGTGCCAGACGCTCTTCACTGCCGGCAGCAAAACCTGCTCCAAGTGCAACCACAACCGCTGCACCGACTGTCCCAGAGACCCGTATGTGGCCCTCCTCCACCTGGTAGTGATGCTGAATGCTAACCGTATATCAGGCCCAAGAAGGACAAGTATCCTTTTGGCTACCCTGGCGATGAGTTTGGACCGAATGCTGTGCCGCATCACGAATGCCACAAGTGCAAGACGATATACCCTGGAGGCGCCGCTGACGGGACTGCATGCAAGAAGTGTGAACACGAGAAGTGTGGCGACTGTCCTCGTTTGAAACCACGCAAAGTCGAGCCGGAACCCGACCCAGAGATCCTCAAAAGCATACAGGCCAAGATCGAGAGTTTGAAACTCAAGTAACGCCATGGCCGACATGGCGATTCCTACATCGTTTGACATTTTGAATTCGACTGGAGGCGTACGGGCATGGCGGGGTGGGATGATGTCTGAGTTGATTTATGGCGACAAGCGAGTATGCGACATTTCATATTCATCCTCGAACCCCCACCCCCTGGGGCGCACGTTTTCACCCGATTTCTTGTGGAACAAGCATCCATCATTCCTTTTTCTTTATTGCGACACTACGAAACCACACGACTACCCATCATCTGCATCACATCACACGTCTTCTATTCGCTGCGGCCACCATTCCTCTGCTTCGCCAACGACCAGAGGAATGACGAAGAACATGAAGCCTTTACGCAATATGCTATCACGACCTATCATCACCTTGACCTCACCAAACGAATTATTTCCTGCCGACTACTGTACTGCATATTGTCCACCTGTAATGAGAGAAAAATCCACAAGAAGGGGAGAGAGGAGTCGTACCCGGACGCACCTGAAGTGGGAGGAGGGGTATACCATGCCAAAATCTGCGGAAGATGGGACGAGTTGGAGTTTGGCGGCTGGAGAAGAAAGAAAGCGAGGAGTTGGGCGACATTGTGTCAAAGACGGCGTTGTTTGCATTGCAGCCAAGAGCAGTGTTGGTTAGGCAGACCCAGAACCGGCAGCGTGGGTCCAATCAGGGTGGCAGATGACAGCTGTGCGGAAGGCAGATTTTCTTCCCTTTCATCTCATCATTCCCATTACCTTCTTCCCATCTCTCCGGAATATCATCTATACTACCCCCAAGTATAGACTTTTGAAACTCAGAACTGCTTTGGACAGCCCTCTTGTCCCATGGACCTGCTGCGGTGCCTCCCTGGAATGTCCGTGACGTGCCAACGCACGAGAGCCGGGAAGTGTTTGACACTAATTCCCTCACATGGTGTTTAGCGAATGCTTCGTCGCCCAACGATGTCACGTTGTGTCGCGCAGGCTGTGGATGCTCATATCTGCCAATAATTGCAAGGCAGATTGAGAGACCAAATAACGGGTAAAGAATAAAATCAAGTAGAAAAGAGGTAATGTGGCAACACGGGAGAAGAAGGCCCAATGGTGCGCTCCAGTTGTAGCACGAACCCGATACCGTCAAGTCGGACCCCCTTCCTCCCCAGGCTGCGGCTGCCTTGTTCCAAGCACAGGCCATCCGGTGGACAGAGATGGGAAAAGAAGATGATCGGAACCCGTACCGTACAGTCGGGTGGGCAATGGAAGAAGCGTTGGGCGCGTGTTCGCTGGCGAGCCCGGGAAGTCGGAATTAGAATTAGGGGGCGGGAATAGCTATGGAAGGAGGGGGGCGAGCAGAGAGAGGGAGGGTGCCGGGGGGGGGGGGGGGGGGGGGGGGGGCTGGGGCAACCTAAATCTCTCGTTCGAAAGCCTTGACTCGAGCAGGATCCGGTCCCTGCTAGCACTATGCCGTGTGATCGAAAACGCCAGAACCAGACCGGGCGCAACTCTTCATTGAAGTAGAGTGGAACGGGATGACCGAATAAGGAGATTTTCGGTGGAAAGCAACCCTCGTGGCAGACGTACAGTTACAAGGCGTTTAGAGCGATTTTACGAGGGGCGTCGCAATTTGTCTGTCGGACCAGTACCGTGAGATAATTTGGGTCAGGTATACTTAAACGTATCAGCACCTTTCGAGCGCCCCTCATCACTTCGCCAGCCTAAGCTGTACACGGATGAATCAGGGTTTGAACACACAGCATCCGTGCGGGCTGTCATATCAAGACGCCCGCAAGGTAACGGGCAGGACGAGGAAGCTAGAGTAGCTGGTTACGGCAACCTCTCCTAGGAAGGTTCCGTTCGTGACTAGACCGAGTAGGGGGCCGAGTGCGTTCCATAACAGGGGAGGTACCGGGAGATACCTCTACGACTATCTGCCAACCGTTAACCTCGCATAAAGAGCCCGATTCAAGCGCCGCGTCAGGACGCGACACGCTGCGTCGCGATTTAGGCGATGGCTACCAGTCCGGGGGGGGGGCGTGGGCGTGTAGTAGTGTCTGTCTCGTCTTATGCTTGCCTACGGATATTCGTAAGTACATCATCATACCACCCATTTGTATCTGTCAGGCGATACCGACGGTGAGTCGTCAGCGGATGGCAGGGTGACAGGGAGAAGAAATTACATAGGCAGAACAATATCTTAACCCGCCCCCCTCCCCTCCCAAGACCAATCCGATCCAAGAGACCGATCTGTCGGGTGGGTGGTCGGGGGGGCGAAGGACCGAAAAACGAAACATGGAAAAGGAAAAAAGAATGCACCGTTCTTGTCACTGAAAATAAAAATAAATCTCATCCCCCCTTTGCCCTTTGCCACGCACATGCATATGGAGATCTGGAATCTATTTGCTTTCTCAAAACGTTTCTTTTTAAATCAGTTAGGGGGAGAAGGGGGAGGGGTGTGCCAGGACGGCAGTTGCTCGTTGGTTCACCGCGCACGAGAAACAAGACGCACTCGCACATACACACACACCCTCTTCCTCAAGCCTTTCTTCTACGCGACCTTCTAGAATAGGGGAGGTGTGACAAAGGGGCAGAGGCAAGGTGCCGAATACCTGGGAAAACCGGCTTCGGGACAAAAGGGGGTGGAGGGCGATGCCGTCCCAAAGCTTGGGACGTCTGAACGAACGAACGAACGACAGGTGGCAATGCCTCCACCCCTGATGCTGACATGCGTCTAGTCGTAACCTTGGAACGGTCGGCAATTCAGGTTCCTGACGGGTTGGTTGGTCCAGGGGAAAGGGACACCCGTTTCCTCATTATTGCTATTTATTTCTTACGCTCCCTGTCTCTCTCTGTCTCATTCCTGGGTGGGAGGTCCACCTGTACAGATGAGGGTGGCCCGGAGATGGGGGCGAGACAAGCTGAGGGCCGTTGTGGATGGGCTGGCAGGGATGATTGGGCCAACGGACAGCATGCGGCGCTCGATAGGTCCGTAGAGAGAGAGAGATAGACAGACACAGGCTGGCCGGAACATGTCGGTGTTGCGTACTTTTATGGTTCAGATGCTACACCGCAAGCGCGTGCTACCCACCTTGGTAGTGTAGATCACCATCTCTCTCACGCGCCACTCAAGAGACCGTCGAAGCTGTATGCAACGTGTGCCTCGCAGCCGGCGCCGTGGCGCTGCCCGGGTTTCTGTCGTCGACGAGGCGCAGACGACCATTACTGGGAGCTGCCCCGGCGGTTGGGGTAGCGGCGTGCAACTTCACATCAAGACTTCCTCGGAAAATGTAACGTTCACTGGCGCACCCATTGGAGGGTGTGCCGTCAAACAAGTGCTGTCCACTCTGTTTTGATTCTACACAGGCTTCGTTGTTCGTCTACCCTACCAGGCATTGCCAGCTTATAGCCTCTCGTCCTGTGTTGCCAAGTCGCCGTATCAACTTACACACACCAATAGGTTCATACACATACACACACCAGCTCTTTCTCTCTCTCTCTCTCTCTCTCTCTCTCTCTCTCTCTCTCTCTCTCTCTCTCTCTCTCTCTATGTATCTCTTTCGCGCGCGCGCGAATTTTAAGCGCCCTCCTCGCGCACGGATGGCTCAAACTGAAGGACACTGCCCGGAGGTAGCGCGGGGCCGATGGTGTCGGCACGGGAGCGCTTCTGGCCAATATAGGCCATCTTGAAAGTGTCGATGCGCTGGTTAAGCCGCTGCTGTACGTCCCGCACGATTCCCTGTTGTGCCTCGGCCGCGGCCTTGGCCTGGCCGTCGAGCAGTGGCAGCAGCCTGTGGGTGGGGTAGAAGCGGCCCTTGAGGTCTGGCTCGCGAAGGACGGCGTTCTGCTTAAGCAGGACGCAGCGCCAGCGGTCTGCAGGGGCGAATTTCTTGCGGAACACCATCTCCTCCCGGAGCGGGCGTGGGAGCTTATCCTCGGGAACGGTGATGGCGGCCTCAGTAACGGGCGCGTTATCGCCGGTAAGTGGTTGGTAGATGTCCCCCTTGAAGAAGGCCATGCCGGGGACGTCGATGGGCGCGGTGCAGATCTCGCGGAGTGCCAGCAGCACGTCGGGGAGGTTGTTGGCGTCGGCAGGGAGATTCTGTTCGGGGGAGATGCGGACTCGGAGGACGTCGCCGAGCTCGATACGCTCGGCGCCAAGGAAGATGCCGTGATAGTCGATCTTCTTACCGCCCTCGTTCTCGGCTATGCGACTAAAGACGGAGAACGACACGCCCACCTTTTGGGCGGCCATCTTGGAGGAGTCGAGAAGCGCAACCTCACGACGATGGTTGTCCTCAGGGCTGAGGCTGCGAAGGAAGGCTTCCCAGTTGACCTCGTCATAGGCCTTATTCTGCAGGTCCGGGATGCTGACGTTGGGCACGGAGAAAGCGAGGAATGGGCGCGCCGTTGCCTCCAGCGTCTGGATCGGCGACTGGTTAAAGAGATGGTGGGATATCGGGAGGATCTGTATCTCAGGCTTGACGCCAGCCTTCTGGTTGGCGGGAGCGGTGATGGATACGATGCCCAGGCGCCATCCAGACGCCATTTGGAACCAGATTAGCTCTCCCACACGGAACAGAGATGGGGCTTGTATTCCTAGATAGGGTGGAGGATATGGCAAGAATTGTGGCTGCTGGTACATGTTTTGAGCCGGGGGGGAAGCCTGGCTGGGATGCTGCACTTGTGCCTGGGCCTGCGCTTGAACGAAAGCTTGGGGTGGAGCCTGTACTTGCGCTTGAACAGGAGGCGTTTGGCTTGGCTGCGGTTGTCGCTGTTGCAGTTGCTGTTGCGGTTGCTGTTGCGGTTGCTGTTGCGGTTGCTGTTGCGGTTGCTGTTGCGGTTGCTGTTGCGGTTGCTGTTGCGGTTGCTGTTGCGGTTGTTGTTGCGGTTGCTGCGGCGGCGGTTGTTGATACTGCTGCTGCTGCTGCTGCTGCTGTCGTTGCAGCATCTGTTGTTGCTGTTGTTGCTGTTGTTGCAGCATCTGTTGTTGTTGTTGCTGCTGTTGTAGCTGTTGATGCTGTTGCACAGGAGATTGTGCCTGAACTGGAGCCTGCGCCGCGGCAGAGGCTGGGGCCGCGCGTGAGGGTATCGTCGGAATCGGCACTGGGGTCTCCTTCTTCACCGCAACCGCGGGTACAACCGTAGGTACTGGCACGGGCGTTTCCTTTTTCACAATCGGGGGCGTGGCCGCTGCTGCGGGAACCGGGGATGCTATTGTTCCCAGCGGCGTCTGTGGCGTGATCTTGCGGACCTTAAAAGGGGGATGCGTGCTCGCCGCTGTGGGCAGAGCTCGCGGGCCATCGATGACGCTCAGTCCGTCAATGTTGGGCATCTCTCGAGTGTTGCAATGGATGCAGCGACAGTCATTACGGTCCCTCGAGTTTGAGAGGAGCCACAGCAGATGAAGACCAAACTCCTGCGGGCTCTTGTAGAGAGGCCTCGCCTTTTCCGGGTGGCCCGAGACCCAAAGATGCTTGGATTTCTCATACAGCCAGTACCCGCGCGGGAAGTTGACGAGCCACGGGAGGCCCTCTGTGCGGGAAGTTAAACCACGGCGGTGGCAGGAGGGAGAGGGGCGTGAACTTACCTGTAGGTGCAAGTTCCTGCTTCAGCAAGATCCCAAGCTTCACTCGCCATTCCTGAAACCTTGGGTCATCTTCGGCTAGCCGGACCATCTGAGGCTTCGCTCTTGGTGTCTTTTCTTGCGTCGTCTTCTTCGCATTCTTAGTTGTCGCATCTACGGGGGTTGGCCAATACCCCGGTCCATAATCCTGACCGTCGCTCCTGGCGAAGCCCACTACATTGTACTCTGTAAGGTCCGACATCCTGATTGCACGTGTAGGTTTCGAAAGGATGACGACGGTGGTGAGCGTTGTGCCGGGATGAAGTGCTATTGAGAGCAAGCTGGCTGGCCGCCTGGAGCAGGAATAGCAGCAGTGCTGATCACTAAAATTGGTCTTGAGACAAGGTTCAAACCAACCCGGGTCCTTTGGCGTGAAGAGAAGCTCAAGAAGAAACCCGTTCTGCTAGCACATTCTGCGTGCTGTTTGCACACTGGCAAGCCCTCCTTCGCGCTGTGAAGTGGATCTGGCCCCGTGCTGGGTTCGGTGAACCGCGGCGAGGACAGATCTATTCGGGTGGGGGCCAGAAGGTCAATTCAATCTCGGTCTCCGAGATACCGCGACAATCCGTTCGTAAGCTTCTGGGGTAATGAATAGGTCACAATCAATCACTTGTTTGTCGCGGGTGATCGTCGTCAAACACGAACCAACCTGAAGTTTGGAAGAGGTTGAAGTGTTGATGGAGCTATGAGAACGGCCGTGCGTCGCGTTATGCAGCTTAGTCAGCAATACTTCCCAGCCCAAGGCACCTAGGTACCTACCTGCTTGCTTGGTGGATGCTCATCCAGGCCCTCCCCTTCCCCCTTACCATCTTACCTTGCTTCTTCGCCTTTTACCAAAGGGCATCACAACAAGCGATAGCGACACTACACGCAAGTCGTGTGTCTAGAATGGCGTTCCGATCATCTTGACTGCGAGCATCTTATCTACCGACTAAAACCCATGGATTCCATCTTGTTGAACAGGGCCCTGCTGTCCATCCCTCCAGGGGGGCAGGATGCATTTCATCACAGTCCAAGCTGCGCCACCCAGGCCAACCATTATCAGTATTGATGACTGGCAAGGGAGTAGCTCGTCTTTCGAGGAAGCTCATATGGGTCGCCGTGTAACAGCAAACGGAAGTCCTGAGGCTCCTAATCTGACTTGATGATGTATTTTAACATCTACTGTTTGTGGCCAAAAGATATCGTAAACTCCCTGATTGGCAACTCCCGCCAATTTCTTCCAAAACACAAAACAAAGCAAAAACCCTAATCACGCCAGGATCTTGCGCTGGCCAGCGCTTTCACCTGCCATCGCGATACTTTGCTTGATTCGAATGCATCGCCTTTTTTTTTTTTTTTTTTTTTTGCGACAGTATGGACCACTGCTTACCCTTATGATTGGATGCCCTTCACTTGCAAAACCCGTAAACCGTGACAAGAAACTCCGGGCTTTGATATTACCCGCCGGACTGCCGAAAGCCTTGAACATCACCTCATCGTCATCCTCGAGGGCGCCTCGGCGTTCGGGCCTCTGCCGGCATCACTAACCTTCAAAGGCCGATCATAATCCATTGGCCAATGATCCCCACAGTCTCATCGTATAAGTATCCCTCACAAATTCGCCATCTCAGAAGTTGAGCTGCTAGACTGCCCTGAGTCAAGAAGCCAACCAACTACAACGGTGTCGCGCTCCGATTTCCAAGCATCTCAACCTCATCGCAACAATATATCATAATACAGATAACCCCTGTTATGTGTCAAGACGAAGCCACTCTCAACGGATGGACGGCCGTACCCGTCGATGCTGGCAGGATCTTTGGTGATCTACCGTTCTTGAACGAGCCCTCGCCGGTAAGCATCAGGGACATCAGTTTTCCTTCCGACGACCCTGTGGTGGCACAGACGCTACGATACGCCCAGGAGCGTTTGCATGCGGAGACTTTCAACCATTCCATGAGAGTCTTCTACTATGGTGAGTTAGACCTGAGCCCCCGGACCAGAGGCGTAGTCCCAAGGGAATAGCTTGCTGTGCTTTTCCAGAAGTAAAATACCTGATATATCCCAGGTATGATAATCAGCAAGCAGCAATTTCCCGACAAGGGGGCTGCTCTCTCTCCCTCAACGTGGGCACTGGCCTGTCTCCTCCATGACATTGGTACGGCCGATGAGAACCTCACGGCCACCCGCATGTCGTTCGACATCTACGGCGGCCTCAAGGCCCTCCTGGTCCTCAAGAACCACGGTGCCACCCCAGACCAGGCCGAGGCTGTCGCCGAGGCCATCGTTCGCCACCAGGACACGGGAGTCGACGGGACCATTACGTTCTTGGGGCAGCTGATCCAGCTGGCGACGCTGTACGATAACGTTGGCCGTCATCCCTGCGTCAAAGACTTTGGCAAGATGATCCACGAGACGACGAGGGCCGAGGTTAACGAGACGCATCCGCGTAGGAAGTGGTGTTCGTTTTTCGCGAGCACAGTGAGGAAGGAGGTAGGATTGAAGCCGTGGTGCCACTCAACGCATATCGTCAACTTTGATAAGGAGGTTGAGAGCAACACGCTCATGAGTGCGTGGGAGTAAAGAAGTGGACTTGATTATCGCCCGTGCTATGAAAGGCGCAGGGGTAATAGGGTATTTATTACCCTATACTCAATAATCGACCCGGTTCCCCAATAGCGGTTAAGATGGGATTTGTATCTGCCCAGGAGAGGAGCAGCATGTCGGAAGGCGGAACATGCATAGGATGCCCACTGGGTCAAGGTTGACTGACGTATCTTATAAACGCTTCTTCATACCACAGTCACGGAAGTGCGGGAAACACTGCCAGTTGCCAATTTGATGCAGTTAAGGCATGGCATAATCATTTATATCCTCGAGACAAGTATTGACTATCAATGGTCACTTCAGGGCGAGAGTCGCTTTTTTGCATGAGGGTCTAATCACCCGCTCCCTCTTGTAGCTCTCTCGGAGCGTTTCATGTGCAGAGCCATGGAAGGAGATCTTGAGTCGGCATTTCAGTCCCGGATACTCTCACACTTGCCACGGTCTCCTTCAGAGAGGCACGATGGAGTTCCGGAACTTTCATAAAACTCGTGGGGTTTGACAAGTTACAGAGATGATATGCTGGTGTTCGTCGACCAGCCTGAGAGGATCGGTCTTTAGCGGCCACCCAAGCAGAAGTCCGGCGCTTTACGCTTACATATCCGAAGCACGTATAATCAATCATGTGCGGATTTCGATTTGTTGTTTTCCCTTTTCCGAACTAAACAGGAAGCCGACTTGTGGGGGTTTATTCTGCATCTACCTCAAACTTCAAAGTTTCTATGCATAATATAACGTGGTCCTGTAACCCGACACACTTGGAATCACTCAGCATGAACCAACAGCTATCAGTTCGTAACCCAAGGACCAAGCCTCGGCCCATATAGTATCATTCTGATCATAACTCGTAAGACTACTGTTTCGGAAACAGATACACTTTTACAGGTTTCTTCGGGACAGTAGAGCCCGTTTGAACGCTAACCAGTGGCCACTGATCATCTTCTTCGACGGTTTTCGTGTCACCAGTGCTCAGCTCCCTCATCTGAATACTGCCCCTATCAGAGATGGGTGTGTACAGGCCGCCAAGGCCTCCGCCGTTCAATTTGTACGGGGCCAGCGAGAGCCGCGGCGGATATGCTGCTCTTCTCTGAGCTAACGCTTGCGGTGAAGGGGCCCGTTGCAGGGCTGGATTGTTCGCCTCCTCAACGTTACTATCTAGGAGCCTTCGCGAAAAGAGCGTGTGTACGAGATAGTCTAGGAAAGTCTTTGTTGTACCGAAAACCACAAAGTCCAACAGGCTCGCGGTAACGCCGGGGATGAAAAGCAGGAGGTCCTGGTGCAGTCGGGCGACGCTGAGATCCGGCTTTTCTCTCAGGAAGTCACGGGAATTCTGCCGTGAGGAAAGGGTTTGGTATATGATGCTAAAAAATTGGTAGGTGCTTTGTACGTTCCGTCAGTTACGTAGTTCGTCATTGGCGTCAAGGTGAAGGGCTATCCTTACGCTATGGCAACAAATGCTATGGTGAAGCGTACCACCAGCCAGTTGTCGTAGATGCTCCGGCGGCGCTTCCAGTTGGGACCACTGAAGACGAGTGGGTTGCTGCTTGCTGATTTGTTTGACTGTTGGCCATATTGAACTTTCCAAGACATGAGATTCCGGCGCGTATAAATGTATTTGGCCAAGATGATGATGAGAAGAAGGCCGCAGCCACTCATGCAGAAGCCCACTGAACGCTTTTTAGATGAAGTCCGCCAGAAAGAGGTGACGACACTTACTGAATAAATCTGCTAGTAAGAGGAAGGTCACGGTCTGCTTCTGAACCGCCTCGAGTCTGAGAGTACCCACCAGCAACGCCGGCAGGAGGACGGCGGTGGCCTTCGCGATATAGGTGGCTCGTTTACGTAGCGAAGAGGCTAGTTCGAGGCGGAAGATTGACTGAGCGAGAGAGAAGGCCCAGAAGAAGATCAAGGCTGATTCGACATTGTAGCAGTATAACTCTGTAAAGTGTCAGATAGGCTAAACCTGATGAGCGGGGAGGGCATCTTACGGATGTAGAAAAGGGCCAAATCAATACCAACTGACTCGTGAGATATGGCCAACTCAGGGTTGCCGACATTGGCGTTGGCATGCTGGAACTGATCGAGCTTGATATCCCTCCACCGTAGAAGCGTGTGAATCTGCTGGGCTACAGAAGCCGCCGTCGACAGCCCCGTGAAGTATGAAACCAATGCGACATCTACACACAACGGCGTCAGTAAGCCTCCGAGCAGCACTTAACCCATCGTTTGGTCCACTTACAGCTGAGTTCCTCATGATGAACGTAGACCAACCATGACATGAGAAAACTGCATGATAGGCAGATCAGAGAGTAAAGAATAATCCCCACAGATGTGGCCAGCTCCTCCTGAGGCAGCTGGATGACCATATCAACCCCCTTGGATGTTGGGTTAGCAGGCGAGACATGAACATGGAGCTGATGAACGGTAGCAGGGGGGCAATGTGATGGAAGAGAAGAAGAAGAAGAGGAAAAAGCAAAAGTTGAGAGCGCGAGCAAATGGTATGGCCATGCTTATCATCTAAAGCTGCCCCGATATCGATCCAAGCACCTGCGATCGGCGCATGGATAGCCACGCCCCGGATACTACCTATTCGTTTGGTGGCAATGGCGGGATGAAACCTAACGGCTAACAAGACTTGGGAAGGAGATGTAAGCAATGCTTGTCTGGCGCTCGCAGAAAGCTGAATGGCGACCAGGCACAAGTGTAGGACAACGAGATGGGACTTCCCGACATTCTAGAGCGGCAAGGGGTGTTCAGACCTCAGTAAGGGCCATAGCCCCCCTACGCCTTGCAACCGGCGGTACATTGATGTCTTGAACGGGAACCGTAGGGGGGGTTGGTGGCGTGGCCGCTCGGGATGCTCCAGGAGAGCTTTGCTCCGTTATACGGTGGGTAATCAAGATTGAAACGCGATAGTGTAAGAAGGTTTTCCCACGTGAACATGACACCAAGACGCCAAGACGAAGGGCTACGAGAAGAGCCCAGCAGCGCAGTGGGCAGTACAATATGTCATGTAGAGACAGATGACAGCGTGACGGTATTCTAGCTAGCTTCTTGGTGCGATTCTGGTGACAACTGATGAAACAGTAGTACGCGGGCGTCGTTGGAATTTGCTGCAGAAAGCCTGCCAATAGGGTGGCAAATGCTGAACCGAGTTGTACTACTCCGTAATGTATTTGGCATAGCAGTGTATGATTTCAACCGAACTGTTGCCGGGATAGCCTCCGGAGACGACCATCCATACTTGTTATCCAGAAGTTGAGGCATGGATGGCTCGAAACACGTATGGCGAGTGGTGGCGCAGCTTCAACCTAGCTGAGGCGACCGGGCCGATGATGCCTGATCTACCGAGCGCCCTCCGGGGGACCGTGGTCATCACCTCTCATCTCATCGCTGAGCCGTTTTCAATGGCAAGGGAACATGCCGTGTCCCGGTTTATCGGTGCTCGGGGCTCTCTGGAGGACAGGGACAACCGTGACGCCGAGTCGAACTAGTGGTTTTGCATTGGGCTTGGCTGCACCGAGTCAGTAGTGACACAGAAGGCTGCTCAAACTGATGGTCCAACGGAGCCCGAGCGACGGACATGGCTTCGGGAGTTAGTCCTGATGCGGTAAAGTGAGTGATTCTAGCGCTAATAAGAGAAAATGTGTTTGTTCGCGGGAGGGGGGGGGGCGTCGTGATGTTGGGATGAAAGGGCAACGACGCGTGGTGCCAGTTTCTACCACATGGAACGTTGCTGATGCTTCAGTCCAATGCATAAGTACACGAACTATAAACTGATAGCTAACGTGTATTTGTAGATTAGATGACAGCTGGGCGACCCCAGCCTGCATGAAGGCGGAATGCGGAATGCGGACCTGTCAGCCGTATACTTTTGGCCGGAGGGGAATTCAACCTGGAGGTTATGAGTGTGATCGGCCGTCGCAACTTCGCAAGCAAAATGCCGTCCCGTCGGGAAATAGCGCCTAGCTGCGGCACGAGCTTGCGAAAAATAAGGTCGTGTGGGCTTCAGGCGATCTAAACTAAAGCAGATAGATTTTGACCCAGAGACCCAGAGCCGTGGAGAAGTGAGTGGAATCGCAATGGAAAATCTCCGGGGGTGGGCCACCAGCTCCTTCCAGCCACTTTGTGGCTCATGTGGGAAGACGGCAGCGGTAGGGAGGAGGAGCCACTTGTGGCTGCGTTCCTATGGGTTTGCTCTGCGTTGGGTTAGTGGGGTAGAGAAAAGGTGCTCGATCATGGTCAATTAAGCATGCACCAGCGGGACGCGTCAAAGACGCGTCGAAAGCTTCCCCGCGATAGAACTTGTTCGACAAACACCCCGACAACTTAGCAGAGCTACAAAAGAACGATTCCAATAGCCCTAGACTGTTTCTTCCATATCACTCCTCTTATTCAATCCCTTCCAGACTGCATACAAAACCTTTATTCGGGTCGATGCTCCGCACTACACCGTCAACATGAACATTGTTCCACCGCACTATAATGATGGCAACCGAGCCTTCTTGCAAGCCTTCTTGGCTCGCGGGACCCTTACATTCGAGGAAGCGCAGACCATTCTTGCAGAAATATTTACAATCGAAGCCGAAGATGGCGAACCGGTCGCCACCGAACAGGTCACCCAGCAGGATTTCGAATCTTTCCTGGAAGCAGCTGCTGAAGCCGTTTCTTTCTTCGACTACGAGATCCGAAGCGCTGTCCACCAAGTCTCCAAGAAGCGTGTCTATGCTCTCGTCAACACGGCTTCGGACCCGATGACCCAGCTCGCGACCACATATAATGCCGAACAGATCGCATTCATCAAGAGACTACTCGATGCCATGTTCGAGACGTACAACTCCCCGCGCATGGAGCTTATGTGCATCACAGAGATGCAGGCCATTAAGCTGGCCCGTCCCCCGCGTCAGCAGAACAACAACCGCAACGACGTCGACGAGGATGGAGCACCGACACAGACGCAGTCTTCCGCGGACAAGGGGCTGAAGCACAGTGAGGTGGAAGACATGCTGATGAACCTGATGAACCAGGGCTGGTTGGAAAAGTCTAGGAACGGGTTTTATAGTCTCAGCCCCCGCGCGCTGCTCGAGCTCAGAGCGTGGCTCATCGACTCGTACAACGACCCCGACGCGGCCGCGCAGGAGTGGCAACGCATCAAGTTCTGCGAGGCGTGCAAGGGGATCGTCACCGTTGGCCAAAGATGCGGGGAGGTAGATTGCAACGCACGCCTGCACCACATTTGCGCCGACGCATACTGGCGAACGCAACGCAGCCACAAGTGCCCCAGATGCTCAAGAGACTGGGATGATGAACATTACGTCGGGGAGGAAGCGCAGACCAGTACAGAGGCCTACAAGAGGGGCCGCCGTAGAAGCGGAGGCAGGAAAAGTAACGTGGCTGACGAAGATGTACACGAGAATGGTGAAGAGGAAGACGAGGATGAGGCATGATGAAACATAAAGGTTTGGGACCCCATAGCTCAAACAACCAACCAACCAACCCCTAGATGTTGTGGGCAGTTTTCAGGAAAGATACCCCCCCGTACTGGCGGCTGAAGCAGAAACTAGCCACTCGACCGTCTCAGACACTAAAGCTGTCGAAAAAAGAAGAAAAAAACCCCCATTAATCAAAAATCCTATTCTGGACGAACACCATGTTTCTTCCACATTATCCGTATATACCTACATTGTACGTTGCGTCCCAACAAGAGAGGCGGCGTTTGAGACCCTGGAGGGGCCTCCAATGTGGCGGTGCGTCTTAGCGGGTCTGGGCCCAAGTGCCGGTGCTCGCTTGGGTGCGGTTACTGGAGGGCTCCAATGACAGGACCATGCATGATCATCAGAAAGCGCTGAGGTGACATCACGCGTGGCTGTGCAGGCTACTCCAACTTGCTCTCTAGTCCAATCCATCCTGTGGCCAACAAACACCTAAAGCTCGCAGATCATGACGCCGCGCGAGGGAACCAGGGCCCAGACTGCATGTGATTTAGAAGCACTTGGCTGGTCGATAAAATAACTGGCTCCGACCGCCTGTATTTCGAAGGCAACTCTTCATCTACCAGCGCGCATCAAGACAAACCACACATTCGTCGCCCAGCCTCGGTTTCTTTCACAACAGCCCGATCGCAATTCCCAATCACCACCCCCACAAGCAAACCTAGCTCTTGGCCTAGGACTCTTCTGGCGCAAGACAACCGCTTCGTCCACGATGCTGGAATACCTGAGCTATAAGAAGTTCAAGAAGTACAAGACAGAAAAGGAGGCAAAGCAGGCGGCGGAAGGGGAGCAGCAATCGCAGGAGCAAAATGGATCGTCGTCGGCGCATCTCAGACCCGACTCGCGGCCTTCGCCGTCGCGGCGCCAGACCAGCTCTCAATCCGTCTCAACAACGGCGAGCGGAGCCACCGAAGGCGGTCCCGCACCGCTTTTAGATCGCAAGGACGAAGCCTTCTTCAGGCGCATCCTCTCTGACCCGGATGAGGTTGACTCGGACGACGAGAGCGTTCGTCCGGCGCTGCCCCCGCGCAGCAAGACCCCAGAGTACACGTGGGACTCTGACGAATCTCGCCGCGCGGCGCCGTACCGGAACCAGCAGCAGACTCCCGCCAAGGCGGCGACGGTCGCTGTCGCGGAGAACCCTGAGGGCTCGGGGCCTTCCAGGATCCCCGGCAAGATCGCCTTCCTGTTCAACAAAGCCAAGGGCGGCGACAAGGACAAACAGCTCCAGCCGACCAAGCCCGTGAAGCCCGAGGAGGCGGCGCGCGAGCAGGACGACCTGTCGCGCGTGCTCGACGACCTGAACCTCTCGGCGCGCAACAACAAGGCCATCCCCCTATCGGCCGAGTCATCCGAGCTCGTCGGCAAGTTCACCCTCGTCCTCAAGGATCTCGTCAACGGCGTGCCCACGGCCGTCGACGACCTCCGCAATCTCGTCGAAGACCGCGACGGCACCCTCAAGAAGTCGTTCGACAAGCTCCCGAGCAGCATGCAGAAGCTCGTCACCAGCCTCCCCGACAAGTTCACCGCTAGCCTGGGGCCTGAGGTCCTCGCCGCCGCCGCTAAGAGCCAGGGCATTAACGCCGCTGAGGTGTCGGCCAGCGAGGGCATCAAGGGTGCCGCCAAAAAGATGTTCACCCCCACCAGCTTCTCCGACCTGGTCTCCAAGCCCGGCGCCGTCGTCGGCATGCTCAAGGCCATTGTCAACGCCCTCAAGCTGCGGTGGCCGGCCTTCATCGGCACCAACGTCATCTGGAGCGTGGCTCTCTTCCGTAAGTCTTAGTTCCCCCCCTTGCCCCCTGCTTGTAAAGGATACTAACACCCAGCGGCAGTGCTCCTGTTTGTGCTCTGGTACTGCCACAAGCGCGGCCGTGAGGAGCGCATCAAGCGTGAGAACACACCCGGGGTTGTCGATGGCAGCGGCCGCATCGAGGAGCTCCCTGACGACCCCGCCCTCCCGGCGCCCCCGCGCTCGCGCACCGAGCCGGCCAGCGCGGACCAGGACCGCCCGAGGAGCCAGAGAGGCGAGGGCAGTCGGCGCAGCGGCAGGCACAGCTCGGGGAGAACGACGCCCCAACGGCGGGCCTCGCCGCCTCCCGACTCCCCCCGGAGAAGGGCGACGAGGAAGTGACGCGGGGAGGGGTTTGACTTGCCGTGCAACGCGTGCCTCTGTGGGCTCGCACGTTTTCTTTTTTCTTCTCTTTAATGATTGGGCTGTCACATCCTGGATATCATCTAGCGTTTTGCCACGAATGAATGGAACGATGTATGAACGAACGGGCCAGACACACACACGGCGACTGCCTGTTGAGACGGGGTTTTGCAATGATTTCATGTCCTCATTTGATGCCTGTACCTAGCCTCGGCTTTCCTGGATGCGAGCGATTTCTCGAAAAGGAGGAGGAAAATATCAGAAGCCTCTTATGTCGATGGCATTCTCCCATGCCTCTTGCCCCATAGTCTAATATACAGCCGTGGATCCGCAATGCAAAGAACTCCTTGCGGTGAAAAAAAAAAAAAAAAAAAAGTTCGGGTATCTCCGAAGCAAAGTACGCTTTTTTTGTGTCGCTCTCTCGTCCATCGTGCCAAGACCCCCTTCAATCATCCTGGACCAGCTCCTTGATCTCGTCGCGCCCGCCAGCTGCAAGATTGCCTGTCTGGCCGGCCTTCTCGCCTTGGCCGAAGCGGTCAATGACCTTACAGCCGTCCTGGATCCAGAAGTCGACCTCGTCAATGATGTCGTAGACAATGTCCTCGACGACCTGCTCAGTGTAGCGTTCGGAAACAGGACGGATCTTATCCAGACCGGGGTATGCGAACGCCGATGGCGCCTTGGGCTCGGCCTGGTCGACGTCGACCATAGAGACCTCGTTCTCGGGGTCCTCGACCATGCCGGGAGGCGGGAACCAAAAGTCTGGACCAAAGTTGACCTCTGCGGCGCCGCCTCTGAATACGCTCACGGCGGGGTAATAACCGAGCATGCCGTTGTCGAGGCCCTCGCGAGCACCGATCTGCGCCTGCGGCTTGGAGGCGGGGGGCAGGAAGGCGAGGAGATCGGTGAATGCGGTTCCCATAGGAACGCCGTTCTTGTACACTTTGATATGGGATCCGGGGAGAGTGCGAAGGGCCGGAACAGGATGATTAGGGTTCGGCGCCTCGACCGAGTTGGCGGGGCCGGAGGAGACAGGAGAGGGGTTCATGAGATCCTCGAGCTCCTTGGTGGTATGGTAGTCGATCTTTTCAAAGTAGATGTGCTGCTTGAAGCGAATGGGAATACGGTCGCGGACGATATTTGGCGCATCAAACGCCGCGCTGTCGTCGTCCAGACCAGTGTCCACTGCCGGGTTGTACTGACCAGCCAAGACCTTCCGTTGCAGACGTTCCGACGGGAGCTGGATCTCCAAACCGATGACGTCGCCCTCGCGGATGCCTTCTCCTTCTGGGAAAAAGGGTTTCGGGCGCGACATGTAGACCTTCTCGCCGCCGACGTCGCGGAATCCGTAGCTGTAGGCGTCGAAGCCGACGGGCGCGTCAAGCGACGCCTCTCTTCTCGCGAAGCCCATGCGCACGTGGCCGTGCGACTCGGGCTGTCCCTCTGCATTCTTCTTGTCCACGATGCCCCTCGTGATCTTGACCTCCCAGTAGAAACGTCCCTCTCGGATCGCCACATTGGCGCGCGTCATACGGAAGCCCTTGTTGGTTGTGATGTGACGACCCGTCTGGTCGAAGAACAAATGGGTTGCGCTATCCTCAAAGCTCAGGTGAGGGCCGTGGGGCTCTGCCTCGGTACCGCGGTAATAGAGCGATGAGGGAAATCCGGGATCAGCGATACAGTGTGTGTAGTGGTAGCTCTTCTTGTTATGAACGCTTGGTATGGGAGGTCAGTACCGTCGATCTGTTGCGTAGAGGCACTGGCAAACTTACTGCTCCGAAGTCTCGTAGAACTGGATCTTGCGGCCATCCAGGGCAGGAACATCATGGTGGTGTATGAAAACAGGAGGACGTGCGGGCTCAAAGTCGGAAGGCTTAGGAGGCGCCAGCTTGTAGCGCATCGGACTGTAGTCGCTCTGAGTAGGTTCGCGATGCTTGGGGTCCGGCGTGCCACGGTTGCTGTCGCCGCCGAAGGCGCCCTTGGACTCGCGCTTCTTCAGCGACTCCTTCTTGTTGCGCTTGGCAGGCATATCGTCGGTGCCTTGAGGTTTCGGTGTAGATCGAACTTCTGGATTGAGAGGGGAGGGTACGGAAGGACTGAAATCCTCTTCAAGCGCAGGGCGCTTCAACGGGATCGCATTCGAAGCAGAGAGGGAGCCGCTCGGGGTCGGCTCCCGAGGCGGGGGAGGAGTGCCCGAATCGGAGGCCATCTGGTCGGAATTTCTCGGTGTTCGTGCAATTCCTCTTTGACTGTTGTTGTTTGAGCAGCGGGTGCAGGTTGAGGGTGGAGGGAGAACAAGGTCGCGGGTTCTTGTCGTGAGGCGCGCGTTTCAAGGTGGAAATTTTGGGAGCTGCTCCAGGGAAGCTAGCAGCCACCAGACACCCCGCGTCAAGCTCCCTCACACAGGGGGCACACAAGGGGCCTCGGCGGGAAAACAGCAGGGGTATATGTGCACTATACGCTAGCGGGGCAGGCACTGCAAGACTTGCCTTTGACAAACGGAGCTCGCTCATGGGAAACCTTATCTCATTCTCAAACTGATTCACATGTAAACTCATTAGCTGGCTGACTTGGCTTTCACATCCAGCTTCTTTGTCTGACACCGCGTGGTCTTCTCAGATACCTGGTTTCACCTGTGGAATAACAGATGTAACATTTGAAATGAGACTTGTCTTTCGCTCTATCGGCTCTCTATTGGACATTGCGTCCATCTACCATGTCCGTCAAACGCCAGTCCCCATGTTTATCCTTACAAAGTGTACAAATGGGGTTCTTTTGTACAAACGTTTCTCCATCCCATCCCTGATAAACCCAGCCCTACCTGCCCTGAGAGCACCCTTAAATGGCATGCTCCTGCTGGTTCTCCACAGGAGGGTTCCAAATCTCTAACTGCTTAAGAATGCGTTGGTACAAGAACAGCATCGTGCCGCTCTGAATGAAGGTCCATACACCACGGGGTCCCACGCCCCTGAACCAGCCGCTGATGCCCTCTGTCTGGTATATGACCTTGAGACCCTGGATGACAGACGAGGTCTGCAGGTTCACGGCGCCGGGGCGAGGAGTATGCGTTGACGGCGATGACGTTGATATGTTGCGCGTCTGGGATTTTGATGTCGAGGCATTCGCAGCGCTCTTAGCCGCCGGTTTGCTCTCTTTCGGTAATAGGTCAGGGTGTACTTGAGTCTGCAGCCTTGTCTTGACGACGTCCAGGGGACATGTCATGACGCCAGCCAAGCTTCCAGCGAGCCCGCCGGTCAAGAGCTCCAGCGGTATGCCAACGTCTCTGCTCTGCTTGTATGTGCGAGCCCAGGCGTGGAACTGTTCCCAGAACATGAACTGGAGTGCTGAAAAAGGCAGGTCACGATAGAGCGTCGCTTGGTAGCCGTGGAAAAGCGCTGGAAGCCCCTCTTGACGCACAATGGTCCGCGCGGCATCAACGGTGCCTCTGTAGTTGTATCCCGACTTGAAATAAGGGTTGTTGTAACGTCCCTGTAGCTGCATGCGCGTCTTCAGCACCTCGGACGGGACATACACGATAGAGCCGGCCAAATCTCCGAGGAACCCTAGAGATATTCAGTTAGCCTGTGCTTTTCAATTATGAGCTTGGATTTGACGAACCGGCTGTGAGGTAGGCCAGGTGGTGTTGTAGGCCGTGGTTGATAAGAAACCGCTTGCTCCATTCGTATGTGCCGAAGAACAGCATGGTGCCCGGAAGCGAACCGCTCAGGGCCGGCACCCATCCGCCATAGAGTCCTCGTCTGATGCCCTCTTGCCTCCATATCGTATAGTACGATGAACCGAGGGACGTGTACTTTGGCGGGATATGCGGGTCACCCTGTTGGCGTGTCTTGACCGTGTCCAGGGAGTGCATGAGCATGTCTCCCGTCGACCCGCCGAGACCTCCAGCAATCATGGCATGGAGGTAAGGCGGGCGGCCTTCTTCTTCGAAAGACTCATCCTCCTGTGGGCTCATGTCCTGTCCGAATGGCTGTCTGTTGATTCTGATATCCGGCAAAATCCCTCCCGTCTGTCCCGCATATCTATCCTCCTCCAAGGACACCGCCGCCGCCGGGCTCGAGACCGAGAATCCTTCCTTGATCGTTTGCGCGCTGTTGTCGGCAGGGGCGAAGTAGCTGAAAATACGGTCAGCGACAGACATTTGCGAATGCTGCCTGTCGCAATTGGACCAGGTTCTCTTTGGTCCACGTCTAGGCCGGCTCCCTCTCGTGCAGCGAGTGCTGGTATCGGCGCGTTTGTCAATGTCGTGGCGGGGGGATCTTCGAGCAAGGCAGTCGGTCGCCCGGAAGGGGATGACGACGCCGTTTTGAGATTTGAAGGGGGGGAAAGAGAAGAGGCCTCCTCGTCGTTGATTGTCGCGTGGGCTTACTGCGCGGGCAAAAACTTGGCGGCGGCGAGGAGCAGCACATAGTCATATCGAAATTTCATGCAGGGTTCCCGGGCTCTGGAATTTTTGTTAGTGGTGCACAGACCACCTGCGGCGCAGCGGTCCCGCTGCGTCACTGTGAGCTTTCCATCCTTTCCGCTGGAGGTGCCTTAACATTGGAGCGCCATGGCCAGCCGGCTGAGAGACCCTGAGTGAGAGCTTCGAGCTGTGACACGGACAGTCAGTCCGCTCCGCTCTGTGTAAGCAATGGACCCTGAGAACACCCGGACTGGCTATAATCACATTTTTTGGTGTCAGGGGAAGCTTGGTTTCGTATATGATAGTATACATGGTGAGCTTTTGGACTTCAAAGGCTCAAATTCTTGACCAATGACCCGACAGAAAGCTAGGTCGCCATTATCCCCAATCGCTTGCTTCTTCGTACAGTATAAGATAACCCACCCCGTCTTGCGCTCAGTATCTCGGCTTGAACTTGTGATCTTCCCACCTCACGCGTCCAAACTTGCGCCAGGGCCAGATGTTCCACACACATTGCCCCGTAATCAGCGCCATTGATATCGGCCCGTATGTGTTGCTGTCCAAAGTCTCATCTGGCGGTCCGTCGCCCTCGACCCAGATGTGCCCTTGTGGTACCCTGACTATTCGTTCCGGGTACGGCGCCCTCGTCGTGACATATTCTCCCTCCAGTGCAATAACTCGCTTGATTGCAACGGTCTCCGGATGAAATGGGCTCCTACAGTAGGGAAGGGACGAAGGAAGTCAGCTCACCCAATATCTTTGATTTTCCGACAGCGGTCGCCAACAACGTACCTAAACGTAACGATCATGCCCTTTTGCAGCCCATCCATCGGGTTCCACTGCCAGGTGAGCACAATGTCGTTTAATAAAGTCTTGTCGCGGTCCTCGTTGTAGTAGGGGTACATGGAGCCACCTTTGACGCGCGTGATGCTCGCAACATGGTCGTTGAACGTTATCGCGACGGGTACCCAGGTTGCGAAACCCAACAACCGAATCGTCGTGTCACCGAGGAAGCTGCCTCGCGCGCGCGCCCATAGCGAGCGGTATGCCATGGGCGTGAGATTTTCTCGAATAAGCCGGGGTCCTGTAGTCGCTGCCGCTCAAGAGAAGAGCTTCCTTCCTGTGTATTCGTGTGTCGCAATGAAACTTGGAGCTCACATCAACCCCCCACATGCTTATCTTATCCCGTATCTTATCCGAACGGACTTGGGTGGGTCAATCATGGCCTTGCCTCACTGAGCACCTTTTTCCGTGTTACAGCACAGAGAGTAGTGGCTATATTGCGACTCCCTTATAGAAGAATTCATATTGGAGCTGTATCATTTCCCATAAGCTCTTGGTTCTTCGTAAGCCTTCCCCGAGTCCTTCGGTGTTCTTTCTCATCTATGATACCTGTAAGAATGGTCAAGTATTGTAGGTGCTCTCACATTCGCACGAAGCTCCTCCCACAACTTGAAGTGGGAATTGCATTCTGCGGGAGAGGCATTTTCGAATCGGGGAGTAAACTATGTAACTGATGAAGCGCACGTAGAGGGCTCCGTTAGTAGCTTTTCAGAGGACCCTATGCCCATGTAAGCGCTATGTTCAGCTAGGAACTCGATCTGTTACCACAGCCTAGTGCTAACTGCTCAACGAAATTGTTTCCGAGATCTACGAATGAACCCAGGTACCTGACGAGTATGGGAGATTTCTGGAAAGCTGACAATCAGTCAAGACACTCCTCGACGACGTCCGCAAGGTGTTAGGTGACTTGGGATGCCAGACGAGCCGCTCATCGAAGACTTGCTTCTCACGCTGTTGTATTTTAGTTTCTCTCATTCAAATGCTAACTTCCCATCTTGTAAATTCCACTACTCGGTGAGCCTTGTTTGCCCAGGCTTCGTAATCTCAGTCTTCTCCGCATACTGTTTTCCCAACCCATAGCTGACCAATGTAACCAACTACCCGCCGATGAAACAGGTTTGGCCCAGCACCGACCGGACTTCCGCGTGCTTGGGCGTTTCGCGAAGCCATTCATGGCTGCACAGCTGTTGGCTTGAAGACGAGCCCAAGTTCGTTTTCATAGCGACGCAGCTTGTCGACGGTGCCTGGGCCGAGACAATCAGCAGCTCACAAGATCGACGGCCAAAAAATGCAAGTTGTCTCACTGGAACATCAACGGCTTTTATTGGATGTTGGTATAGACCGAGGCAAAACGAGACGAAGCAACTAGGCCGTAAGAACTTTTCGGGTCATAATCCGATATAGAATGAAGGACAGAAGGAAAACGATTCTTCGCAGAGCAGCTTGCCCCGCCGTCTTTGGAAACCCTTCATAGACACGCTTCTTATTTACTGTGACCTGACAATGTAAGTCGACGATACTCAGCCCCTGCATCGTTAATAGCATTCAGTTCAGCCAGCGCTCACTCGTTACACTCCCTGGAGAACAGTTTGAAATGGTTGAATTCTTCTTTTTGGTCGTCTCATTAGAATCGCTCCGGATTCACAGCCTGCCGATACGCTCATTCTACCAGCCGCCCCTTTTTTGTTGGAATGATGACTCCAAAAACAATAATTAGACCTCTGGGTTGTCGTCGCTCTCGCTGACACTCTCGTCACCGCTGACCTCGGCATTCTCGCGCTCCCTCTTCTCCATGAGAGCCTGGAGCTCGGCATCGTCGCTTTCCGTAACGGCCTTGGGCTCCATCTTCACGACGAGCGAGCCGCCGGCGGCCTCGATGCTGGTCCGGATCTCGACAATAGCCTCCTCCAGTCTCGAGATACCCAGGTTCTTGTCCAAGCACGTGCTGGTCAGGACGTACAGCGGGGGCGACACGAGCCTGACCTTGACCTGAGTCTGATCGTCGTTGCGCGCCTCGGCGGTGCGAAGGGCGGCCTTGACGGCGTCGATGCCCTCGTATCCGAAGCAGGTAACCTCCACGTCGGCACGGACCTTGGTGGGTTGGGGAGTGAGACGCTTCGCGATATATGACTTCAACTCCTCGGAGACGGCCTCGCTGGGGAAGGTGGCGTCGTTCCAGACCTCGGCGTTTCTGTGTAATGCGTGAGCACTCCTAAATTTCATTTTCCAGATATTTCTCGAAATCCCAACTCACGTGATAGACAGCTTGAAGGCGTCGATCGCATGGCCGTACTTCTTGTTGAGGGGCCATGCGATGGTCTCGTAAAGCTGCTCGATAGGGGTGAGGGTCTTCTCGGCGACGTGGCGCATGATAGAGTGGACCATCTTGCCCTTGTTGTACCGCTCCTCGCACTTGATGATATCCTCCGGCGACACACGGCGCTTGCTCAGGTCGATATAACCCTTCTCCTTGTCGACACGGAGCACGACGACAACCTCGTTGCGGCCAACTCGGATGAGCTTCTGGATACTTCTGATACGACGTCTCGACAGTTCAGAAAGCAAGATCATGCCGTCGATGTTGTCGTACTCGAGCAACTTGACGTATGCGCCCATCTCGGCAATCTGTATCACCTGTCAGACCCGAGTGTTCCTCCTGCCCCTCTCTGTCCCCAACTTGCCCACGACGACCGGGTAGAGATGATTCGGTTCGGCTCGCGCGTGTGCGTTGGGCTGGCGGGGCACAAACCTGCTTGACGTTGACCATGACGAACTCATCGATCTCAGGATACTTGTTTTCGAAGTATCGAAAATGGCTGTAGTTCGGTTCCGCCATCTTGGCTACTGGTTCTCGAAGTCGTCGAGTACGGAGGGTGGTGGTGGTGGCGTTTGCGTAGGTAGTAAAGGTCGAGGTGTGGAGGGGCGGGGTGGGAAAGAAGGCGCGGGCTTTTTACACGTCGTTCCTCCTAGTCTTAAGACAGCTTGTTTCCTCTGTGCTCAATAAAAAATCCCGCCTGCTTCGTCGAGTCGCTATCGCTGAGGTGGGCTCGGCTACTCGGGAGAGGGGGCGACGTCGAAAAGGCGAAGAAGAGGCGGCCTTTGGGATGAGAAGCGTTACGTTGGTGATTGGACGATTTGAGTCACAATTTTTGCTACTGCGGTTCACAAATCGCAGAAATCCGAACAATGGTGGGGGTGTGCAACGGGGGCGGTGGTTTGCGGCAAAATTGGTGCTGATTCGACCGATAAGCTTTGTTTCGCTTATCGCCACGTGAGCACCCCTCCAACCAAATTGTTCTTGTAAACAGACAAACAACAGACAGACCCCATAAGCTCACATCCTAGGTAGCTATTGGTAGAGAGGTACAGAGCTACAAGCTTCAAAATATCACAGCAATAAACAAAACATGGCACCTGGTGGGTTGAAATTGAAGCGCGACCAGCTTCTTTACTGCTTTATAAAACATTCACAAAGACTAATGGCCCTTAGCATCCCAATTCGAGCTGGCGCAACCGCCCAGCGACGCCATCTCCTCGCTCGCGTATGCGCCCGATTCTCCCACGAGACTCCTGGTGTCCTGCTGGGACAAGAAGATCTACCTCTACGACACACATAGCGGAGGCCAAGACGCCTCAGGGACACTCGTTCAGACAATCGAGTTCCGCGCCCCCGTACTCGATGTTACCTTCGGCGCCACAGATAATGAGGCTTACACAGCTTGTTTGGACCACTGCGTTTACAGGTAAAGATACTCCCGTATGCTTCCAGTGCCCCCCGCATTGTAGCTAAATAACCGAACACAGGGTCGATTTGGAATCAGGAGAGAAGCAGGTGGTTTCTCAACATACAGCTCCCGCCCGTTGCGTAGTTTATAGCCCAGAGCATTGTAGGTTATCGTTCCCCCTACCCATCCGCGCCTCATCTAACCAAGCTCATAGCCCTCCTCATCTCCGCGTCCTGGGACCAAACCCTCCAAATCCACAACGCCAAATCACCCTCAGACGACAACATCACCGTTCAGCTGCCTGGAAAGCCTCATGCACTGGCCGCCAGCCCCTCGAAGGTCGTCGTTGCCATGACCGCGCGCCTCGTCAATATCTACGACTTGGGCAATATCCCCTCTCTCTTCTCCCAGTCTGGCCCCCACGATATCAAGCCCTGGCAACAGCGCGAGTCATCCCTCAAGTTCCTCACCCGAGCCGTTTCCTGCATGCCCAACGACGCTGGGTACGCTACCAGTAGCATTGAGGGTCGTGTCGCAGTCGAGTGGTTCGAGGACTCGGCCGAGTCCCAGGCCCGTAAATATGCCTTCAAGTGCCATCGTCAAGCCGCTCCGGACGGCGAAGGTGATATCGTCTATCCGGTCAACGCGATGGCTTTCCACCCGGTCTACGGCACGTTCGCCTCCGGTGGTGGCGATGGAACTGTTGCGCTGTGGGATGCCGAGGCCAAACGCAGGATGAAGCAGTACCAGAAGTTCCCTGACAGCGTTGCGGCTTTGGCCTTCTCCAAGGACGGCAAGTATCTTGCCGTTGGTGTCTGCCCTGGCTTCGAGACGGGCATGGAGGATTACAGTGCCGAGGGCAAGGCAAGTGTTTTCATCCGTGAGCTTGGCGACACGGAAGCCAAGGGCAAGGGTGCAAAATAAGCGACTGCAAACTTTGGGAGACCGTGATGGCGTCTTGAAGGATGTGAGGGCGCATGGCGTTAGAGGTGATTTTCTTATGCAGGCAATTCGTTTTGACGGACCGGGAGGGTTAAGGAAAAGCCTGGTATGTACTATATCAGATGATACCTCTGCTGTTGACTGAGAACTTAGCCGTTGATAAATATGCCATTGTCTTTATCAAGCTAATTGTCGCAAGAGCCCTGCCACTACCATGCGGACGCCACGAATTCAAACTTTGGTTGGCGTCGTACATCTTTCATAAACCCCGGCTCCTCAAAGTTTTGCAGCACATCCCAAAACTCTCTCCTCAACATTGCACCCGGAATCTGCTTGGATGTTGAACCCCTCACGTCTGTTTTTTCAGCCCCGAAATAAAACTCCTGTTGGTCTTGGTCTCGGTCTCAGATCTTCCAGGGCTCCTGTCCACGTAGCGAATCTTCCCTGCACCCTTTGCCGGGATTCGGTCGTTAAATACAGAGCTGTTTGTGCTTCGCCATAGGCGTACATCTTCCTACCATTCTTGGGGCTGAGAACGCTCTTGCAAGAATTACTTTTGCTTCTCCTCCATGCGAGTCGGTCAGTTTCACTCTCTCTTGCAGCCATGATGCTGAAGCTTGTGCCAGCTCCAGATCTGCATTGAGTTTCATCGTTATTTGTGCCGCTATCTTCTCGGCTGCCGGAACGCTGATTCGTCTGTGAGGACGCTCGCGAGATACTTGAAGTCCAAAATTGAGAAGCATTGAAAGACTGTGTTTCAAACGCGTCCGAATCCGTTGTGACTGGCCTTGAATAGCTTCCACAGGGCAAACCAGATGTTGTATGTGTGTCGCTGCCGAGGAACGATGGACTTGTGTCCAGGCTACTGAAATCGTGACTTTGATCTCCAATCTGACGCATACTCTCTTGAGTGCGTAGAGGAGGCAAGACAGTCCGCCTCTCATTGTTATTGTACATCGTGGCCGTCTCGATAGAGGGTATGATATGGTGAGTCACTTCCTCAGACAAATCCGAAGTCGGTGAAACACCGACTTCTGCGCCGACTTCTTTCGGGTTTCCCTTTGCCATATTGTTATCCATATCAAGATCTGGATCTACAAGGAAAATCTGGCGAATTCCCATCCTCTTTATAACTTTGCGGGCGGTTATCTGTTTTGAACCGACAGTAACGGAAAGAGAGCCCATGCCAAGCGGCGGAGGCGATCTCTTTCGCCGTTTAGCGCTGTACTGTCTTCTTAGAGGAACGGTCTCTTCTTCATCAAAACCATCTCTGATGTCCTGTTGAAGAGATGCCGTTACAGAGGCCATCGCGGGCTCGTACTCTTCGGCTCTCCTTTCCAGACGGTGAGTGGCGAAGGGTCTTTCGCCATGATTTCTGCTAGGACTAGGTGTTCGAAGAGGTAGAAACGAGCGGTGCGTTATGGCTCTCGTGTCTTTGGAGATATCCCATGCTACCGAGGCCGTCAGAGCTGTCCGCGAATGTAAAACATATCACTTGCCTTCATTCCGATCAAATCGGTTGTTCGAATAAGCTGCAAGTGTACCGATGGAGTCGCAAACAAATGAAACAGCACCGCTTGTCCGTGGAATTGGCGACTGTTGTAACTTCGGCTCCTCTGCTGCGACCGTTACGAAAGAATTTCGACTTGGCGACTTGATCTCGGGTGACGAATAATGTACACCCGGGGAAAACTCTTCCGACTTTACGTATATCTCAGCACCTGCGTTCAAATTTGCTTCGCAGGGGATGGTTGGGAGTACTGTCTTATTGAAAGGCGGTCTATCACCTGACAGCTCCTTGCCGTCATCGCTTTTGTGTGCTGCAGTAGTTGAACTGACGGACGGTTGCTGTTGGTCATTGACAGACATAAGCTTTTCGAGAAACAAGGATTTATCGCGATACTCCTGAAGCCTAGCCTGCAGGTCAGCCAATTTCAGAAATTTTAGTGCCAGTTAGACTTACAGGGGCCTGGCAGAGCAAGACCGTGCAGATTTGGCTTCATTATTATTGTAATCTCCTACATCAATCCCGTTTGGCTGGCTGGATTTATTCGCTGTTGACATCGAACAAGTTACCGATGCTCGTATGGACTTCTGCAGGTGTCTGTTTGAAGATGTCCATATACGCCGCGACCTCTGTCGTTGAAGTTCGAGAGACATCCTCCGTGAACAAGAGCTTTTTGGCCGCCCGTTGACTGTGTTGCGTGATGCTTGGCACCTTTGAAACGGGATTAAAAGTCGATAGGATGGTGCTCCAACAGCCCGGACGAAGGCACTGGACTTTGGTCAGCTGAACGAAGTAATCTGTCAGTCAGGTGCGATGCATATAGAGGTCTAAGAACTAGACGATTGGGGATCGCGTACCTGTTCAGGAAAGTGCTTTTTGCCACAGCACCTGCTTTGGTTTGTTCATACTAGTCACGTTGGTGTTCCTTCCAAGTTCCACCTTGCACCCTGCCGTGAGGTGTCAATGCCATTTTAGCTCTCCACGATTGCATTCAGACCGAATTAGAAGGGCTTGCCTGGGTATTGGGTTAGTGGGATGGCTTTGGGCGAATAATTTTCTCGACTGAAATCGTTCCCGCCTTGGCTTTGTGCTTATTTGAGTCTCAGTCCTGGGGTCTTAGGCTTAACGTAGATAGGTCTTGCCATTACTACGTAACCGCTGTGAAGGAAATCAGTACTTTGCGTTGAGGTAGGGGCCAATGGGGTGTTAAAGCTGCAAAGATCCAAGTTGTTGTAAGCCATCCAAGTGGTCAGCAACGCCAGTCATGCCGTCGAATAACATCACGTCAAGATGGCAGGCTATAAATCAGGTTTGTACCCCTGTGCCGCAGATCACGGAGCCTCACCTCACCCAACCACGACTTCTACTGTGTTTCAGATGCATAAGAGACAAAGTAATACTACAGGAGCATGGGCGACACATGGATCTGAGTTGGGATAATCGATTTGATTGTGCGACCTGCCTAGTGAAGAGTGTTCCGCCATTTTGGTCAACGGCGGCTCAATAGTCTATTAGTCGCCACCTCCTGCGCTGAGTCCTTGCTCGCCAGCCCTACTGTCCACCCTCTTTGGGTACGATGGCCTTGGGCTCGGGAACATAGTCAAAGGTTCCTGCCATATTCAACAACCAGACTTCGCCAGGGTGTGATGGCACTTTGTCTCCCCACAAGAAGTTGTGAGGGAAGCCCAGGTCGAATGGAACGGCCCCCTCGATCTCTTGAATATCTTCGTCGGTGAGTTTCAAGGCAAGTGCCTCGATGTTCTGCTTCAGGTGGTTGACGGTTCGGCCGCCAACAATGGGAAAGACGTACGGTGCTTTTTGCATCACGTACGCCAGAGCAACACTGGTAATGATTGTGTTCTTGTTCTTGGCGAGCTTCTCCAGCACCTGGCTGACCTTGATCTGTACTTCGCTGGCTTCCCTTTTGCGGCCCTCCTGAGACTGACGTTGCTCCTCCGTCTTGAAGGCACCGCCTCCGAGAGAGCCCCAAGGTGCCAATCCCATTCCCTCGGACTTTGTCATTGGGATAATCTCTCGCTCGAAGTCTCGCGAAGCCGCAGACCATCGACCCTGGTAGACGGAGAATTGTCGAAGCCCATGGTTTCTGGCGTATTCATTTGCTTTGCTAATTCTGGTCAGTGTCCCGTCTGCCATAGGGCTCATCTCGCGGGGCGCACCTGACAATCCACGCGGGGGTGTCACTGATGCCGAGGTAGAGAACCTTGCCCGCAATGACAAGATTGTTCAAAGACTGCATCATTTCCGAAATGGACGTAGAGTAGTCCCACCAGTGAACATAAAGCTATCTCCACGTCAGTGACGTCACTTGACTTGTGAAAAGCGAGTCTGCTCACCAGATCAATGTAGTCAGTTTGCAGATTGCGAAGGCTGGCTTCGACAGAGGTGTGCAAGCTCTTGGAACCGTTGCCGGTGAAGTTTGCCATTATGTTGACTGCATTGGGACCAGCCTGGAAGTTGGTGGTATACTTGGTCGCGATGACTACATGGGTCAGGAGGGTTTGGTTGTGGTGGGATGACAGCACTCACCCATCTGGTCACGGACACCCTTCTTCTTCATCCATTCGCCGATCCAGACCTCGGACTCTTGGAATTGATAGTTATTGGCGGTATCAATGAAGTTACCTCCCTGTTCGTAGAAAAAATCGAGAATCTCCTCAACAGTCTTCTGATCGCAGGTCCCCATATATCCCTGCCTAACTTACCCATTAGCAGAGAAACCAAAGGCCGTCTCTTGCTAGACGTAACTCACCATGCATCGCCAAAGTTCATGGCGCCCAGACACAGCGGGCTCACTCGGACGGAGGCTGTAGGGGAAAGAATGCGGTAGCGAGCCAGAGGACTCTTGGCGGGGGATGCCATAGGTAAGGCCGACGACATGGTGGTGGAGAGATGTGCTGGTCTAAGCAGAGTTTTTGTCAAAGATGAGATGAATAGGGTGGATTGAGTGAATGCAGGATGTTCGACGTAGAGATTTGGAGGTGAGGTTGGCCGCCACAAGAAGGTTGCCTTCAGGCAGGACGGCGAGGGCCATCTTGTACCAGCGCCTCCTTCCACTGAATGTGAATTCGAGAATGGAACATGCGCGCGGTAAGGACAATAGAACCAGCTTCCCTGTAGGCCTGCTCAGTGGTTGGCCACGCTATTTTAACCTTAGCTATTCTCGGCAAGAAAGATCTGAATTAATAAGCCGCTAGGCCAACTTTGCCCGTCCATGATTTCAAGCCCGATACATTGGTCGTTTCATGGCCGGCTGATTGAACTGGATCATTGGCAAGTCTCACGTCTAGGTATTTGGTCATTGAGGTGCTTAGAAAGTGGTGTAGGTCCATTGATCGGCGCTACTCAAAGCCATGATGACGGACCGGTTCAGAAAACAGAGCCCGGCCGATTTAATAACGAGTTGCCCAATCTTTTCGGTGATTCGATATAATGTCCAAAGGTCTGAGGCAAAGAGACGAGCATTTGAGATATGTTCTTGTCCAGCCCGGCCGCTGATGACTCATCATTTGTCGGGTGCGGATCAACCTAAGCCCATTGAACATCAAGTTTCTGACCCGACGGCCAGGTCATTGGCGGACAACAGCGACCGCGCATCAGCGTCCCGAGGTGGTACGACAATAACTGTAGCTTTGACAGGGTCCTTCAACTTTTCGGCCAGCCCGTCCTAACAGTCAATTGACTCGCTCTTCCGACACCACGATACCTGACCACCCGATCGATTGACCCTTTGCCCTTCGAAATGATCCGTTAATAGATTCGAGAACGATCATGGCCATTGTCGAGCTCGCACAATGTCGTCTCCCACCCCCGTCCCGTCAAAGGCCGCGATCCACGCACTTCGAGGTCTTCTCTTCGGAACCTCTTGCTCTTTGGTGTTACTAGCTGAGGAGCGCCGTCAGCGCATAAAGCTTGCTCGATCCGCTGTGGAAAACGGCAGGAGATTGAAGTCTATCAAACGATATAGTTCCAGCGGAGTCGCCGCCCTCGAGGTCCTCCAGGAAGAAGCCGCCACTGATCCTAACTTCATCGGCTGGTCAGTTGCGCCGCGAAGCCGCTTTTCTTCCCACGAGCATGGAAGGCTGTCATTCGATAGCTCGTACCTGGACCATCGTATCAACGACGTAGCTCCCGATGCACGGCGACCAACGAGAGCGGCAAGCGAACGGACTGCCTCAAGAACTTCCCCAGAACAATCAGTAACATCAAATCAACGCGGGCGATCCGCTTCCAATGCCGCGAAGAGATGCAGCAATGACCCTTTGTGGTCCAGATTTCCGCCTCCAAATTCCGCGACACAGGCCGTGCCCAGCAGCCAAGGCGTTCAGAGGTCAATGGAGATCCGCACGAACTTTCGACTCTTGGACAAGACCGCCGTTGCCGCAGTGGTGGAGCGTGTAATGAAAGACTATCCTCACAATGCAGGGCTTGCTGGATTCAAGGCCTCTCTACTCGATCCGGTACAACAGCAACAACGCGACCTTCGCGCCCCAGTTACTGCTCTGAACCTTGTTAGCAGAGCGTACAAGTCTGTTGACAAGTCACAAGAGTTTCCTGGGTGGGTGTCGGATATATCCTCATTGTTATCAATAGCTTGCCAGCAGGAGGGTGATTTCGAAACTTCTGGACAGATCATGGAGCTTGCGGTCAACCACGGTGTCATCAAAGAAGGTAGCACTCTGGCCCAGCGTCTCGTTGAGGTTATTGAATCACTAGTGGCCCCGGAGAACTTGCAAGGGCTCTCTAACAAGAATCTCGCCGATCGATTGCACTTGGCGGCAAGATTATACATGGGCAACGTCGAACTGCTGCCACCGGAGCAGTCAACGCTACGATTTGACTATGTCCGAGTCGGAAAGAATATTATCGGCTGTGCTCTAGAGGCAAGATGTTCAATCGACTTTCTGCAGGTCATCCAACAAGTATCTAGTCGAAACCAGGACAAGCTTGGAACCGTGGTCTGGTCCATGCTGCAGCTTGTGGCACACAACCAGCACATTCCGGCCATCGATGTGTTCCTAGGGATTTTCGCCAAACTCGATCACACCTCGACGTACTCCAAGCGAATTTGCGCTGATATTGTTAAGGCGGTTATTGCTTCCCGAGGCTACGAGTGTCGTGAGGTTCTCAGGGCAATCAACCAGCTCAGGGACCGCGATGGCTGGGATATGCCAAGGCTATGGCTGAGAGACCTACTTTGGGTTTACTGGAATTCGACCTGCAATTTCGCGGACACCCTTCAACTCTATGACGACGCACTGGAAGCCAATTTTTACGGAATCGATAATACCTACGACATCCGATCTAGGATGGTGCGTATCTGCATCGAAGCCAACCAAGTCGATAAGGCACGAGTACACCTGGAACATCTCATGGCGAAGTATCCAAAGGCTCAGCAAGACGTCGAAATTCTGGGTGAGTTCGTTTTGCAGAAAGCTGACAAGGGAGACTGGGCTGGAGTCCGCGCCGATTTCGAGATCATGAAGCCGATGCAGTCTGTTTCCAAGCATAATCAAGAGCATTTCAAACGTGTCTTTGTAGCAACACTGGAAACGTACGCAAAGACCCACACATGGGGTGAGGTCGAAACGTTTCTCGAGACGTACATCCCCGAGTTCGGTCTGAGTCTTGATCGTCACTTGGTAACATTCATCGCCGACAGACATGCAAAATGTCGCGATGTTCAGGCGCTTAAGCGATGGCTGATATTCTGCAAGGATGCCGGGTACACGACAGACGGCAGCTTTTGGGCCTCCATGCTGACCAGTTGTAAGAGAGACTGGAAATACGATAGCCAACAGATCCTAAGTCTCTATCGCGCCATGAAGGGTGCCAGCTTCGACGACGCCTTCCCCGACATCGAGCAGTGTGTGAAGAACCTCACGCTGACCAACACTATTGAGCGGTCGAAACGAGTCCGAGTGACGGCTTATATGGTGAGCCCCGCTAACGAGGCGTCGGCTTTTGAGCTCATGAAGGCCGAGGCCCAGCTTGGCAACTGGAGGCGCGTGCTAGGCGTCTACAAGCGTGCTTTGCACAACGGTATGGGACACACGAGTCGGTGTCTCAAACTGGCTGTTAGGGCGACGGTCCACTTCGAAGGCTCCAGGAGTAAGCAAGCCATGTCGCTGCTGAGCAAGGCACAAGCCGAAGGCTGCGACGTAAGTGAAGCCATGTATCCGATCGTCTTCACACAGCTCGAGGAAATCGAAAAGGCGCACAAAGCAACTGCCGCGGGCCGCGAGGACGGCCGGGGCCGGCCCTTTCCCTACATCAAGGCCATCTTCGACGACCTGCGAGGCAGGCAGCTGCATATTGACGACGGCCTGTTCAACCGGGCGGCCCGGATTTGCCAGGCCCTTCGCAACTACCGGGAGATGATCAGCTTCTGCATCATCGCCGCTGAGGTCAACGGCCGCAACGACCTCTGCTACAACGTACACAACTTCTCCAACCTCTTGACCGCGTACGTCCTCCGCCACGAGTATGATAAGGTGCGCTGGCTCCTCACTGAGCTCAAGAGCCGCGAGTACCGCACCTCGAGAGAGTGCCGGCGTGCCCTGCACTGGGCGCTCAACTACCTCAAGCAGAGCTCGCAGGCCGCCAAGTCGGAGGAATTCAGGAAGTCGGACCTAGAGATCATGGCCCTTGTACATGAGGCCCGCATCGCCGTCGGCGATGAGAACCGCGGCCAGAAGGCCGAGGCACGCGAGGTGCTCCTCAACGCCATCTCCCGGGCCGGCGTCAAGGCCAACCGCGCTGGCAAGGCCGCGAGTCTCGCGCCGGCTGCCCAGGCAGAGGAGCAGACGTGGGCCGCGATGAGCGATGGAGGCGATGCCGACGACGCGCCTTCCCCTCCTCCCCCGGCCAGAACCGTCAGACGAATACGCGTGGGGCAGAATACCAAGGAGCGTGGCCCGGCAAGAACGGAGGTCCGGCCGGCCAAGGGGGCATGGTCGTGGAGCTCGGCCAGTGTTAGATAGGATGAGGGGTATATACCAGATAGAGTGTACAAATATGTGTACACGTAAAACATGTAAACTTGACGATCGACCATAGAAGAAGGGGGCTCGGGGATTCAATGTACAATGAATACATGCCACAAATTCAAGGAACGAGAGTCCTGCGTCGCATACCGCGTGCTCCTTTTGGTAAATATCATCAACGGTACTGCTTCCTACGTCAGGCTCGTTCTGGCGGCCTTGACGATAATGGTTGCAAAAAAGTACTCTTGGCAACAATGTCGGCTACGGCTTTTGTTACGGCAATCCGCGTTACACACGGAGGAGGCATGGTTGGTTCAATCCAAATTGATATTTGCTCGGAGAAGTGCTGGAGCGGACGCGCCCAAGGACGAAGCCTCGTAGAAATAAGCCCGCCCGGCCCGCAAAGCCCGAGCGAAGCAATTCCAACTAAATATGGTACACGTAGCTACTTCAGCAATTCCAGCCCATAGAGGCCCATACCACACTGGGCCGGTCTTGCTACCTTTTCTTCTGTCTCGTTCAGCCCCCTCCGCTAAGGGGTCTCCTTCTGTCGGTGCACTCTGAATGTCAACTTGCCAACTTGCCTTTGTCTGACCATCTTTGGAGCCATGCGTGCCCTCTTCTCCAACGGCAAGGTGTCCCTTGGAAACACTTCCCCTCTCTAGCTAGCTATGACAACTCTTCTCGATTCCCCGTTTCGTGAACTGTGATAATAACGCCTTGGCTTCCGAAAACCGCCCGTCCTTGGTAAAAAGTATGATAGAAACAGTCATCACCAATCATATCGGCAGTTGACCACGCAGTATATGCAGGAGAAACGCCTAGGATTCATCGTCCGACCTCGCCACCCCACCGGTTTTCACTGATGGAGATATGCTGATGGCAATCTTCTTCGGCGTTGCCGCATTTGGCCTGTCCGCGAAGGTTTTCTTCCTCCTGACCATGCTAGAAGTCATTGATGCGTTGGAACCTGCAGAACTACTGTTTCTCCGTTTGTTCTGCATCAACTTGCCGAGCTCATCATCGTCATCCTCCTCGCGGCGCCTCTTTTCGGAGAGTCGTTCTGGAGGCGCCACTGAAGATGATTCGCTACTTGTGTCGGAGGCACCGTCCGTCCCATCATGCTTCTCGCTGGACGTCGGCAAGACCTCGGGGTCTGCGTTTTCGTCAACCTCTTCGTCCGATGGATAATCGACTAGCGGTTTCGAAGTCGGCGTTGACGCGGCCGAGCCATTTGTCGGCTGCACCTTATCAAGGGCTCTGCTCTCAGGACCATCTTCATCATCTGACGTGTTGAAATAGTCCTCCTCGGCTTGGTCGACGGAAATGTGTTCCATCATCCTCTGGTTGGGATTGGCGTTTCGTCTCGCATGGTCCTCTTCCGATTCGGTGTAGAAGTCAATGGTGTGCCCTTGTGTTTGATCGTAGACCACTATGATGTTGCGGAAGGTATCCATGTAGCTCAGTGCAACCAGCCGCTCCCGGTGATTCTGAACAAGAAACTTGTTCATCTCCTTTCTGTGTTCCTGTTGGGTGATGAAGACAAAGAATTCGATGCAAGCCGAGCTCAGAAGATTGTCTCGAGGCATGGATCGGGAGACCATGTCGAGGAGAGGCTCCAAGATGCCATGCTCCATGATATGCTTGTCATAGAAGTTGTCCTGCATGCCCGCCAAGTTGCGGAAGAAACGAATGGCAACTAAAAAGACTGGTTAGCGATGATGGTCTACGATATTTTAGCATTTGCACTAACCAAGCCTCAGATACTTCTCCGGACAAGCAAAGAGCTGAGCGATTCGTCGCAGAAGATCCTGCTGAAGGACGAAAAACTTGCTGCGATGCACATGCTGCCGGATAAAAAAACACAGAATCTCAATGAGATACGTGAACATTGAAGCTTGCTGCACTGGGAAAGTCATGTCCGTCCGACCCTGGAGATCGATCAGTGGCCGGAAGAGCCGCTGTGCCGACGTAGAGTAAAAGTGGGAGAGGAACAACTCATGCTGAGGGCTCTCTGCTGCCTGTGGTCTCCGACCAGGGAACTCTCCGTTGGCCTTTGCAAAAGCCTCCTGCGACTGAATTGGAGGCCCATGGTCGAGCAGGACCTTGAGCGCGTCCGATATTTGTGACTTGACGCCAAGGTCGACTTCTACCAACAGCAAGTCGATGAGCGAATCCGTTAGGGGCGGTTGGCCGTCGTGGAGCTGTCGGTAAATGGTGCCGCGGATCATGTGTGGATCATGGTCTATCAAGGAGACCAGTACGTCGGTTGCGCCAACACGAACACTGACGTCGGGATGACGCAGACCAAAGTTAATGACCTGGAGCAGGCCGTGGCTAATGAAGTGATTGTAAAGCGTCTGACGAGCTTGGGGCTGGAGGTTCTTTGCAATGGCGCAGCATTGTTGGATGAAAAGAACCGCCTCCTTCTTCCTCATCTGATCCGGTTGAGTGGCTTTGAAGATGCTGAAGAGCTCGTTGAGAAACCCTCCGTTTCCTTGCAAGTGCTGGACAATGTCCACTTGGTTGAAGAAGATCAGAGAGTTAAGAACGGAGAAGGTAGGGTCGTCCAAGATCCGTGCCAGGACAACGTCCTTCAAGTATTGGAGTCGGTAGGTTTGATGAATCTTCCTCCGAATGTTGTCGTCCTCGATCGGGACAACCTCCTTATATCTTCCTTGGTTGTCAAGCCAGTGACGGTGATTCGCTTTGTGACTTGGGAAGTCTGGATCGTATTCGAGAGCGCCGACAACACCGAGAACGCAGTCGTCGGATACTACATGCTCGATAAGTTGAGTGTCGTTGAGAAGGATGACAGTCTTCATGATGTTGCACAATCGATGGAGGTCGGGCAGGCTCTCGAGATCTTCGGCCATCTCAACCAAAGGAATCAGTTTACGGATGTAACCATCTTGGCTGATGCACTTGCAAAGCGCCTCTCGTCCATTGACGGTCTGACTCATTATGCGCATGCTGGTTTCAATCTCGGGGAGATTCCCGATCTCGGCAGAAGGAAGGCTGAATGAGGTGGGCATGTCCATGGGGAGATCGTCAGAGAGGCTGTCGTCTGCGTCTGAAATGTTAGGTCGATGTCTCCACGGCATGTCAACGACACGAAACTTACCAGCGCCAGCCATTCCGCCCTGGAAAGTCTGCTGCACACTGTTCACGAATTTCCTATTCGGAGGCCGTGGTCAGAAACATGCACCAGCCAAAGAAGGATGAGTTCATCTCTTACCAGATCAGAGCACAGCCGTCCGCCTCCTGGAAGGACAGAGCCATATCGATGCCATTGCTAGGTTCCGTCCAGACAATCAGAGTCTCTGCGTCAGGGGTCAGTCGGTCTGCTGCAGGAGTGGTAGCGACGTGCGACTTACCTTGCTGCTTCTGGAAGCCATCCTCCTTGCAGATCTTGGTCTCTAGTAAAAGTCGGTCAGGGTGGTCTTCGGATTCGACAACGACTCTGGGGTCTCGAGGTTGGCCCTCCTCCGTCTAGCAAACCATCATCACGTTAGTATCGCACCGCGAAGAGGACGAGCGTCATTTATGACAGCAAAGAGAGCGTGAGAGAGAGAAAGGAAGAGGCACGCGTGCGCGAGCAACAAGACATACCTGCATGAACGCAGCGGTACAGAAGCCGGTGCCTCGGTCAAACCAGTCATTGTTGCGCAGTTCGTAGACCTTGACGCGTTTCTTGTCCGTCGCATGATGAGGCACTGGTTGTGCCATCATCAATGGTTCGGTGCCCCCCTCGGTGGTGAGACGGGGGTAGCTAAGGATATCGGGAGCGAGGTCGAGATGTTGTTGGAGTGAAAGCTCAGCGTCGGTCTGGCTGAGGATGGTGAGCGCCACTTTCCCGTTGGTCGGTCGCGCCTGGAATGGGGCGCGGCTCTCAAGCGGGATGTCGGTCGGGGACGAGAACTGAGAGCTCGTCGGAAATGCGGTCGTCGTCGATGGGTGTGGCAACGAGATGTGCCCGAGTGACGTAGGGACGCGATGATCAGGGAGCCATCAAAATGGGAGGGGGCGGTCGGGTCGCGCGATTGGCGGGCGCCGGGGAGTTTGAGCGACGCAAGGCGGCAACGTGAGGCGGAAGGAAGCTTGCTGACGCGACAGCGATAGCGGAGTGCAGGCGATGAAAGATGGGCTACGCGCTTGCAAAGATGGAAGCGGGCGAGTTTGGAATCCGGGGCGGATCAACTACGGCGACGCGGCGCAATGTTTTTTTGGGTTGCGGAGGATTGCGGATGATGATGAGATGGAAGAACTTTGAGGCTGTATTCGGTCAGTCGGGTCGGTTGGTTGGACAGAAGAGGCAAACTGGGCTGGGACGGAAACTGCGCTGGCGGCCGGTGCTGCTGGCACTTGAGCGGGGGGAGCACTCACCACCTAGGTACTTGGGTACTATCCAGTGCGCGTGATTACCTGGCACCACTGGTACGGCACTGGCAGGCCCAACCCAACCGCACCGCCACGCCGTGACTGGACCCTACCTCCCACTCGTCGCTTTCTGGCTCGGTACCCGCAGGACAGGACACTAACCATTTGTGGGCCAGACGCACCTACCACGTTAGCATCCGCGACAACCACTGGGGGAGGCTTGCGTTGCGTCAACGTGCGGCTACTCGTCTAATTATCCCTTTCGGCTAGCCGCTCGTCTGAGATTTATTGCTTGGTGGAGCATAGCTGACTAAACGTCATCAGGTGCTGGTCCACCTCTGATCCTAGGGATTCCCTTTTCCTAGTATCCGTAGTGTCGCAACAGCTAAAGTGACTTCTTGGGAAACGGAAACCTTGGGTATCAGGGAGACACACTGAGGTCCGTCCCTGCAGGAACGGCTGCAGGCATGCTTGATGCGCTTCCTGCCTTTGGCCCTCGTCGTCTCGTCATAGACCACAGCACGTCTCAACCTTAAACGCAGCCTCGGGATTGCATTTCAGCCTCGTCACGTTTCAATTTCCCATGCAACCCCAGGCCTTCAATACATCCCATCGGGGCAGCGCTGACTTGTGGGACCGGCACCAGAGACACACGCCAACCGAGAAAGCAAAGCTAGGTAGTAGCGACGATTCGACTTCCCCGCATGCCAATGTCCTGTTGGCGGACGCCGCAGCATTGGCAGATACCTGGAACGTGGATCAAGCCGATGCCCGGTTCTAGACAGCATTCCTCCGCGGAACAGCGCATGAGGATTCAATGGACCCAACGTCTTTTGGAATATTCCTCATTCCCGCTGTAAACATAGGTATGATCTTCTCGAACATAACGTGTCTAGTGCTTCTTGGTGAGCAACGAGCGGCTGAGCGTTGCTCTAGGTATTGTAGCACAGATATCATGAGGGGAAACCACCTGTCATAATCAGCAAAGCGGATGCGAAAGCCAAAAATTCCATCCCCCCACGTTGGAAAGTGATGCCCAGAGCATCAGAAGCGACCCAGTTCTCGTTTGGGTGCTCCCGTGCAGATCGTCTCAAGAGCTCGTGCCACACCACCGGGGCTCCGGCATACAGGGCTCTCCTGCTTGGAGACTTGGGGGTTAAATCATGCAGGGGTTCTGATCGTCATCCACACGATATCTGATTTTCCATCCCTGCTTTCAGCATCCTCATTCCCCCTTCTGCTCCTTACCCATGGTGCAAGGGTTGCCTTGGCCTGTTGGTTGTTGAACAATTGTTGGCTTTCGAAACGACCCTGAAGCCTCCTAGAAGTTATGGCACTCCGAGAGCCTCTGCGGCCCCAGCATCGATCGAACCCCGCGCTGAGCCATAGCTCAGCTAGCTCTCGCGCGACAGGTCCTTAGAGAACAAACCGCTCTTGTTCGCCGCCCAGTGAGCTCTATCGGAAGATGGCGCCTTCACGTGTCAGGCATACCAATGCCAATGGAATGTTGGCGTTTTACCACTGTACTCGCAAAGACGAAACGGACCCTGGCCACTGCAGCCTCCGCAGCCTCGGCTTCGTTAAGCAGCAACCAGTCCAAGTCGGAAGCCACCACGACCAGGGTATGATTCTGGCAGTCGAACTTGGGAATACGGCTAGGGTCCGCGCATTGTATGACATGGCTTTAGTATCATCAAGTCAATCGAGACGTGCGTCTGCTCGCTTATTCCGAAGTCGGACCATGGCGTATACAAGGCGATATCAGGCCTAAGTGGCTCTTTGTACGGCTGCTGTTCAACCCAAGGAAAGACGACCAATTATTATGGTACAAACCGAGCGATGGCCTCTGCTTTCTATCGGTTCCAGTCGAAAGCAGTGTGCTAAGAGGGACTTTTCGATGTGAGTGAGGGCTGGAGCTCAGCTACTCAGTATCGTCTTTGTCGACACTGGATAGTCATCTTACGATGGCTCGGAAGTAACAAAGGAAGAGCTGATACCTTGAGCTACCTATTTTAACGGCAGTCTGTAGTTTCACCGTCTCAAATCTACCATGTACAGGCCAGCGATTCTACTACTAGTCACGGCGCATACGCAAGTTTCGCACCGACACCTTTGCCCGTCTGTCAGCTCATGTCCTCATTTGTGATCGACCTCAGTCACGTGCGAGCTAGTTGATATTGCTCAAGGGTGTTTCGCTGTCAGAACCGCGAAGCGAGGTCCGGACAGCACTTGCAACTCACAGATGATACACTCACTCGTACAAGCACCCTCCACGAGGCAGTGATGGAATCATGACACCAGAAAAAATTGGCTGCCACTCTATGTCCAGGGATGCCTGCAGAACGGCCAAGGATGTAAGGACATAATTTGCACCAGCGCTTGGGTCTAGCAGGGGCTGTTGCAAGCCCGAACGGGCCGGATGCTGCTGGCGAGTGCCGCTAGTTCTGGCACAGAGTGAGCCAGCCAGGACCCTTGGCGCAATTAACGACGGCGGGTCAGCTTGCCGGCCTTGGGATGGATGGAGGGAAACGGGATACGGTTCAATTGAGAGTTCCCAGCCCAGTATCTTATCTCTGCCGCAACTGTTTTAGGGTGCTTAGTCGTAGACGCAGCCTTATCCGAGCATGATGTTCGATGGATGCGATGGCAGCGTGCGGCATTACCTCGTTGTCCCCTCTGAGACCTGCTGCCAGCTCAAGTGGACAGGCCTACGCAATACGGCCGTTCGATGCCACCGAAGCACGCGGAACGGCAACGATAGAGCATGGGCAAAATGCTAGACCAAGGGAAGCGCTGCTCAAGAGGCTGTTGTGCATTTGCGTTCATGACGAGGCGTTTATGCCTCACCGGTTCGACGCGCAGCACAACGACTTATCCCATGGCAGCGTCGCTTCAGGTTTGAGAGGCATCCTTGCGTTGATCGAGACGGACCAGTCTAAGCTGGAACTGCCCGAGACCGATCAGAAAATGATACACCACCCACTCCCCCCTCCCCCTTGATTGTTGAGCGGCTATGCACAATCGGTTGACTTTGAGGCCTGTGGTGCGTGGCGGCGCGGGAGTCGTGGGCTTACAGTCGCCCGTCGGTTACTGTGACTAGCCAGGCCTAATCCCTCATCCAGCCTATTGAATCCATCGAGGTCCTGGACTGCCAAGGGTCTCTCGCACTGAACAATGGTGTGGGGGTTGTTATCATGGACGGGCTCGAGAAGGGAAAAATTAAACTCGCGCAGGCCGCTGTTGCATCGCCGACGCCACATCACTTCTGCCCTTTCCCCCCCCCCCCCCCCCTTCTTATCTGTGGAAACCCCTGCTGTGCACAATGGCGCCTTGCAGGACTGGAGAAAGCCATAGCTTGTGCCGGCCCTTGTTGCCTCTGAGTGGATGGCGACCATGTCACCCAGCTCCGGGCCGGCGAGGTTAGCGTTCTGGGGCACATTTCAGCCTCATGGTGTGAGCCTTCTTGTCGCACTTGGTTTTGGTCATCACATTAAGGGAGTCGTGAACCCGGATGACGGCGTTGGCGACAACTTATCTTTGGCGGCATGCCCACGATCTGCCTCCTTGGAGAGTTCCGTCGGTGTGAGCCAGCCATACACACATCCGGTTTACGGATTCGGCTAGTGCCTTATCCTTACCTGGCTACGCGGCTATCGACGACTGTAAAACCAATATTTCCCAGGGCCCAGGCTGCCGGCCAGGGTCAAGATAGCCATGGGGCTCGCCCGAAGCCAATCTTTGGCCTGCAAGTCTCCGTGATACCGCCGACTTTCAGGTGGCTGAACATGGACCACCAGTTCAGCTCGCTATCCGCTTCGGTCCAAGCAATTGGGTCGAGCCAGGTGTCATCATGCAAGCACCGCATGTGCGTCGGGACGTGAGCTTGGGCCGGGCGACACAGATACAGCACGGCGGTCGGGGGTTTTCCAACGTGCGCGATGGGTGTAAGCGTGTGCCAGTGAACATGAAATGCTGACTTGTTTGGGTGCTGTTGCTCTTTTGCCGCCAATACGATACATGCTGTGTCTGCATGTATGTATGTAAACAAGGTGAAGGAGGCCAAAATGACATTGCAATGAGAGAGGTTCAGCAAAACATACGGATGACAGCTGCAACAAAGCGAGGTTTTGTGGCTTCTTGGCGTCAGGAACCAAAGCGCCATCGACTCATGACATTTGGTCAATTATTCAGGAAGACCCTGGGCGTTGACCGGGGATGTGGTTGCTGGTCTCTCGCCGGGCTCGGCTAGTGTAGTCTGCTTCTAGTGTATGTAGATGAACGGTGAGGATGAGAGCATTCAGGTGTCTAGTGCCTGTTTATCTTCCCCATGCTTTCTGCACATTCGCCGTCAA